TTCTGTCTACTGAAACCCTACTACCAACCACGTTGGAGCTCCCAATGTCCGAACCGTTTGCGAAATCAGACAAGTGGCATATCTTGCTAGAACTCTTGAGTCATGGACTTATGCTATGTTTATCCAGCATGTACACATGAACCAAGTGCGGTTTTTCATTTGATCTCACATGGGCAGTGTAGTAAATTTAAAAAGTTTCCTTTGTGATTGTTCATAGGTTCAATAACCAGCTCTCTTAGTTTCTATGATGTAGGTGTATCAGTAAGTTCTCCAGCAGAAAACGCACTCCTTGGTTGGATACGGATCATTGGCTTTCTATTTTATGCGACAGAAGCGGTCCGTAAGAACCAGAAAGAATCATGAAACTTGCCAATGCCCATTCGCAGTTTCCGCCTGCCCACCCAAAGACTAGATTTCAGATGAATTCTACTAAATGCTGTCAATTTTGCTAAACATAGCACAACTTCTAGATGTAATCACAATAGCAAGGGATTTCAACACCAAAGTTTGAAGGCTGGTCCAATCAAAAGGCGTTCTGGATTTATCTACGGTATCCCATGCCAAAAAACGGACAACGGTGATCGTCTTTTGAGATTTTGTCTTAACAACCTTACGTTTCTGACCAGCAATAACTTCATACGCAAGAAGGCATTGTCTCATTTGGCGTCTGTCAACACCAAACCAACGATGGACACATATCCTATTGCTATAAGCTGTCTATGAAGAAGATCGGTGGAGGACTGCTAGCTTTTTAGAGAGTCTGAACTCTGCTCACGTGTCAGCATGTCTATGTTTTCACTTTACTGGTTGCAGAAGACATAGTAGTGAAGTCTGTGTGTGCTCAGCTGAAAGATGAAGACACTAGCTAGGCATTTATCTGAATGACAGCAATGCTCATCATCTCGGAAGTTGCACAGAACACTTTAAAGTACAGTCCAAATGACGTAGAGAGACGCTAGAGTTACCCAGCTTGGAGCCGAATAAGACGTAGGTTCCGGTCCTTCAATTCTACTCGAAGATGAGAAAGCTGTTTCTAACCTGAAACAATGCAAAGCAGCAGGGCCAGACGGTTTTCCACCCAATGCTTCTAAGGAAGGTGAGGAATTATTGAACTCACTCTTGATTCACGTGTTCTTTGCATGCTGCTGTGAAACGTAGCAACTTGGATGGATTCACTTCTGAGCGATGTTTTACGTTGATTTTGTTTGTCCGTCTGTTTCATAGCTTTGTCACAAGTTCTAGAAGAACCGCTACACCATGAGGCCTCAACTTCATCAACGAATCTTAATAGCATCCACCTCCCTTTCTAACATCAGCAGTCCAGTAAACTTAGATATATTCCATGGAATTCTACCTCTAATGACTGCCGTTTTTACTGGATTTTCCTAGCTTAGTTTATTTTAAGTCTAGGACTTATGACTCTGCACATCATCAGCTTCAGTGACAACCTAGACTCATCATAAATCTTAGCTATAATTTAAGCCGCCTGAAGTTCGTGAGTTGAATAAGTGAAACTTAGGAAGACACTAGGAAATCTTTGATTTTTATGGTATTCTTCCAGAACCTCGAACTGATCCTCACTCTCCAGTGTAAAGCCAAAATGAAACTCATCTATTTATAGTATATTTGATAAGTTTCGTCGCCTTCGATTCTTTGTCAGGACGGATATGCATTTCGCTTTTATTGTTAATCTCTGAGTTGTAACATCGAATAGGTGTTATAGGCTGTTGTTGTCTCCATTCTTTATTATATCAGTGGGTAACATTATTGTTTTAATTATTATTGCTCCATTCATTTTTATTTTGGCGTTTAATTCAGCCTTCCCATTCGACCTCTTTTTATATTCTCACTGCTTATTTCTTGATAATCTTTAATAAAAATATCTATGAAAGTACATGCGTGATCATATTGTTCAAAATGTGCTGCGCAAACACATACAGTTAAGACAAATTATGTCTTCTTATTGTTTTATGGACATTATTACAATTTTATAGTCTTCGGCTTTGCCAGACATGAAAGTAGATGGGTACGACAGAACTCATTATAAATGAATCTTCAGGAAGCTTGTTCTTATCTGAATGAACAATTTTTTAATTAGGATTGGGTTGGAAAGAAGCTAAGAGTGGTCAAATCGTGATATAGCACCAGTCCATGAAATGTTTGAGTGTAAACTTAAACCGCGTTGAAACGTAAGGTGTAGGCTGTCTGACTGAAGTTCTCGAGGTAATAGGAGTCAATCCTAAGTGATTCCTGCTGATATAGCTCAGTATCGATCACAGTGGCAACAGATATTTAAACTCTCTATCATCTTTGAAATGCTGAATATTTTCATTACATTCCTTTCCTATCCTTTCGCTCTTAACTTTTTCCTTTGACTTGTGGCAACTACAACTAATACACTTGTTTATAAGATTCTGTGTTGATGTATAAGCATCCAGACCTAGACAGAATTGAGCACACTGCATCTGATGATTGAATTATTATAAGAATTCATTTCAATGTATTATCAGCGTATTTAGAAAATCAAAAGGAGATATTTTTGGACATATGTCTACGTAACTCAAAGCTTCTTTTAACAGAATGTTTAGACTTTTATTAAGATTCGAAAGTAATATTCAGATAGTAAGTGAAATGAAGTTCTTGTTATCATTGGTCAGATGACTCGTTCATATTGAGAAATTTTTTTTCTCGTAGTAGAGATCTAAGTTTCCAGCCTTACAAATCTCTTTTTCATTACATTCCATTAACTTCGAAGTTAATTCACCTCCTTTTCCTTGATTCTCATCTATACCTTGGCATTTCCTAAGTGCAAACTGTTTCATACAAATCTTATAATGTTTGCCTAGGCTCAGTGGTGATAGTTTGAATAATTTTCAATACTTAGGATATTTTATTTACTTTATTATTAAAGTTATAACTTAGTTTTATGTATTTAAATGTTCAACAGACCGTTGGAACTATGAAGCACATTGTAAAAGTACATACAACATCTATGTAACTTCTATTTCTTTGGCTTCGAAAACTAAATTCACCAAGAAATTGTCTTCAATGATATTTGTTTTTTGAAGTATAGTATGGTCAGTAGTTATTTGTAAATTGCTATGATTGTGTGTTATGCACCTCAGTAAGTTTTTCAGATGTAGTTTATCAGAGCAAATTACCGAAGAGTGTAAGTTCAAGTAGATTTCCTTGTCTTCCCCTTACTTTTATTGTATTTGCAAATTTAATTCGAAACTGTAGCCTAATGCTGCATATATTTAACTACAACATACCATCAGGTCTTCAGTCGATACCTATACGTTTACTTGAGGAATCGAATAATAACCTGACTTACATCAAGTGTACACACCGTAACTTAGTTTCCAGTTTGGTGTCTGCGTGACGACCAAAACCGGGGGTTGTAGGTTTTAGCTGATATGGTTCAGGCTAGATGGATCCACACATTATGTTAGTCCTATTCATCATACCACATTTCATCATTAGCCTAATCTCCTCTTCTTTTCTGATGACTTTCTGTGGCTTTTGATGATACTTATTTTATTTCTCTGTCTTTCCTCTTGTCACCTTGTATCTTGATGTGCGCTGATGTGAAGTGTGGCAACTTGGGTCTATACGCAATAACGCTATGGTTCAATGTTGATATTGATAAGGTAATGAACAAATCACGCTGCTAAGTTATGAGAAATAGTAGTGTCTTAATATTTCAATTTAAACTTTCATAGATATTTCAAAGAACTCGGATGCCAGCGTTTATACCTGAATCAAATATAAAATATTATTAGTGTTGGATTAAGAAGTGATTGGAAAAGAGTTTAAACCAACAAATAATGAAGTAAGTGAACTCCGACTGTCACAACCGGAAGCTGGTGTTCAGATTTCCATATCTTATCTGCATACATTAGGTTATCAATAGTATTATGTTAATCAGCCTCATACCTTGATTTGATGAACAATTTCTCGTCATAAGGGGAGTTACAAAACGAAATAGTAATGCTTCATAGTAATCAATACGAAACATTGGCTATACTGGCTTGGACTGATTCCCACCATTTTGTCATTCTCCGTCTCTTTCTCCTCGTACCTTATATTTCTTTTGACTGCATTTTCTTATCTTCATCTTTCACCTTACTAACTTTCTACTTGATGTACTGATATGAGGTGTAGCAATTCAGAGTGTTACACAGTAATCCCTGGTCCTTTGTTGTTGATGATAATGAAATGCTGGCTTCAACACGACTGACGAATTTCGTCCTAGTGACTCTCACTGTTTGCTTCCTCTTGAACTGGCTAAAAGAAATGAAAAGTGGCCAGTATATGGTGTGACACCGTGGGCTGAAAGATGGTAGTGTTAGGCTAACGTCTGATGGTATATCATAACTCGTTGGATGGTGTCTGAGAAATGGTGACGGTAACCAGATATGGCTCGAAAGGAAAGCCACTGACTACCATACTGCAGCTTTCTTCTATGTACCTTTGAGAGTGCTTTTTCTCTTGTTTCCTGTCTCGCGTTTTTTTTTTGTATTTTTAATGTTGTTATGTTATTTTGTATGATACATTTTTTCATGCTTATACCATACGGGATTTCTATTACAAATGATACACACTAACAATCATAGTTTTATTTATTACAATGCGTACATTTCTGGATGGGAATATATAGTGTCTTTAAGTAAATCTTTAAAAGTCTTGATATACAACTTGTGATAGTTTTAGAAACGTTTAAATCCTGGATTTCGTTGTTCCTTCCCTTCTTCTCTTCCTCTCTCAGTGTGAAATACTTTACAGAGCTCTTCATTGTGAGTTCTTGTTAAAGGTGGTTTTCCAAATGAACTAATAAATTTTATATCATATATGCATACTTCTCTTTAGTTCCTACTTATTTTAATAGCATTATTTTATATCTAGTAGGCAAAGGTTGGTCATTGCAACTTTTAATTTCTATATTTTTGTGAAATAAGCTTAAAAGTTTCACTTTTTCTTGCTTCATTTATCCACTTCAGAAATATTCTTTCAATGAAGCAGCAAATGAATGAAACAATGTCTTTAGCTGTTGATTGGTCAAGGGAGTTGAGCACCTGTGACCCTACCTATTATAAATGGACTCAATGGGTATTCCTCAAGTTGTATCAATCTGGTCTAGCTTATCAAAGTTCATCTTACGTTAATTGGGATCCTATTGATAGGACTGTTTTGGCAGATGAGCTCATAGATAGCCAAGGATGTTCTTGGCGTTCTGGTGCAAAAGTAGAACGGCGTCCTCTACGTCAATGGTTTTTTCGAACGACTGTTTACTCAAAGGTATATACTTAAATGTGTATAGTAATTCTTAGCATGAGTTATGCTTTGTGCTACCGGATATGAAAGTATTTTTCTAGTTCTGAATACTAGGAGTTGGTGATTTCAACCTGCAGTTACTATTTTTTCTAAAAGTATATTCTTGCACTTAGCAATTCACATTATTTCTAAGAGGTTTGATAGCTTGTAATACCCTACACTTTTCTAAGAACTAAGTGACCACTTTGTCCATGAATTTGATCCATGGGGAACGCCTAGTATATGTTATCGTTACTATGCCTTTGATTTAGTGTGATATATGCATATTTATAAAGTGGATTATTCTCTGTACACTTTCTACTCATCTCGTTTCCCTGTATCCTTAGAAGATTCTAAACCTAAATCTTTCAGTTTCAGTGAAGACAAACAAACCAAACTCTGGCATCAACCTTGCACACATTCGTACAGTAAGCAACGAGTCCCACTTATTATATAATTACTAATGATACTACTTAACTCCTTAGACCTCAATATGTGGAGCGATGTTTGAACCCCTGACCCACGAGTTGATAGTCAACTATCTCAGCTCTAAAATGTCACTGAGGTCCAACAAGATGCTCAGCATATTACTGAGGGTGTTCCTAAGTGAAGCCCGGTTTATTAAATCACTTATTATAGGTAAGTTGAGGCAGAAAGGTTATGATGAAAAACGATTCATAGAACGGCTTTTAGAAGCTAAAAAGTTACTTAACTTTTGTGTGTCACTCAGGCTAACAAGAAACAACTTCAACTATTTCCGTTGTTCATTGGCTATTTATCTTGAAAATAACAGGATATTTTCATATTTATAATAGCTGTGATAGATTCAAAGATCCAATATCCTCTCACTAAGTATAATTCAAAATTGATTTCAGGTCAGAATTCATCATGGACAGGCATCATTTAGAGGAACACTGGAAACCTGGGAACACCAAACAGCTGTTTCGTCCGTGGTCAGCACGTTACCATTGAACCACTGGGTCGGAATCCAATGGTCCATATTTCCTACTTCCGTCATCTCACGATATAGCGCGACCTGCATCCAATGTCGACGTTGAGTAACTGTTCTCATGTTCGACTTGGTTGACTTCACAAACCTTCAGATAGAATTAGAAATTGTTAATTTGTGGAAAGAATATTGTGATATCTGACAGAAGCTTGTTTGTGGACACGGTGTGAGTATTTAGTAAAAGTATGAAAGTGAAAGCGTGTTAAGGCTCTTTCTGCTCATCAGTAAATTTTCATCTTGGTGTTAAGACACAGCGTTTCAATAGTACAATATTTTTATGCTTGAAGTTCTAGTATCAGGCAACTAAGCAAACATTGGTGAGTAGTTTCTGATACTGTAGTAAAGAGTTCTGCATTCCGGACTCTACTACTTGCCATCTCAGCCAACTATTATCACACCTGATATTTGGACAGTTTCGCATCCTTGAACACACCAGCCTTGTTTATCCTGTTGACAGTGAAATTTTATAGTAAAATCCTAGGTCAATTAATCTTTGTCTGGAAATTAGTACAACTGTAACTTATTTTTCCGTAATGGTTAGTACAGAAGTAATTATGAATCTGTCCACTTTTTGCTTGTGTATAATGTTGAAACCTTTATTGATCTTAAAATGCTTAATATATCTTGAAATGTTCATAATCTCTACAAGCTAACTCATTTAAGTTGACATTCCTAAAAGTTTAGTGGTTTTTTGATGATCCCAACTGTGATCCCAATAGAGTTACGATTGTCAAATGAATCGAATCGCAACCTCAGTAACCACGTGAACTTCTGTGCAGTAGGCAATGAGCCACACCTGTTGTATGTGAGCTATTGATAATACCTGGGTGCCCATAACTTGGTATGGGAAGCGGAATTTGAACCCGTAACCGATTGGGAGTCGAGTACCTAGTCTGAAGAGCCACAGCTAGATCACCTGATGAGGATTACGGGTGCGACTTACTTTTGTGGAAACTGTTGTGAAATTACATATTACACTGACTACCAGGAAATTGACTCGTCTACGTCAAGTGAATCAAGTCAAGCTGAATGATATGAGTGAAAAGGTTAATGTTCAATTTTAGTAGATTAGTTTACTGGCCTTTCATAATTAGTGTTGTTTATTCCAGAGTTCGTAACAGTTATATGATACTTCAGCTGTTTAACCACTATAGTCTTCGTATCACAGGCAGTGTGTCGTGGTATCGCCACATGAGTAATACAGAAGTCAATCATACAGTTTTAGGGAGAATATGAAAGTCAGTTGATGTGATTGTGAACCTCCATCGACTGAGGTGGCTGGGACATGTGCTACCCATGTCTAGTTATCGTCCACCTCGTCGCACAGTGTTAGCCGAAGTAGATTTTAGTTAGAAAGAGGCTTGAGGCGACCAGATTAAAACATGGCACCAGTATATGAAGTCCCTGACCATTGGTTTGAGCCATGTAGGGGGATGCTGACTAACCGGTTTCCATACGCGTGACAAGAGAAGCCAGCGGTTGGAGACTCTAGTTGATACGCCCCAGAATCGATATCAGTGGCTCAGATGTATCCTTTTTCTTAGTCACTATACTGAGTTCAGCATTTTTTTTCACTCTTCCTTCCTCTCTTTTACTACTTTCTACTGCTTTTGACCGATTCATCTCTATTTCTCCATCTTTCATCTTATTACTTTCCTATTCGTTGTACTCAGGTAAATCTGAATTCACAGACATTGACCTACTACCTGGAGGTCACCTGGTTGACTTGGAATATGCAGACAATATTGTCTTACTAGGTGGAGATGCTGACAAATTGCAAGGTCTTCTGAACACTTTGAGTCAAAAATCTGTTCATGTTTGACATTCGTTTCGTTTACACTCATCAAATGTAAGGTAATGCTCCAGGGCCGGTGTCCGACGTCTACCCACTTAATGATAGAGAGTGAAGGGGTGGAGTGTGTCGACCACCTTATTCACTTCCGGAGTTGCATCAGCCCAAACGGGTTAGTCGCTGACGAAACCTCAGCTCCGATACACGTCTGTTCGGCATTTGCCAACATGCGTCATTTGTGGCGCCGACTGGTCAGATATCCGACTATCTATCAAAGGACATGTACTGCTCTCCTGTCTTTTCTGTTCTCCTTTAGGGCTGTGACATGCAACCGTCGAAAGTAGAAGATATGAAACAATTACAAAGTTTTGATCACAGGTGTCTTCGTAGCGTTGCTCACCTTTGGTCGAATCACTGTGACAGCAATGTTGGGGTCACACACAAAGTACTAGGCAAGACAGGCAAGTCGATTGACAAGGTTGTGAACCTTAGTCGACTGAGATAGCTTGGACATGTACTGTGCATACTGAGTCACCGCCCACATCGACATACCATACTAGGCTGGAGGAAGTTAGATTAGGTCGGAAGAGGGTTCACGGTGACTAGAATAAGCCTCCACCCCACCCAATGAAATCTTTTATTGTTGGTTTGAGTCATGTAGTGAGAGGTAGACTGCCTAAAGGGAGGTCATCAAGACGAAAAGAATCAGTGATTGGGGACTCATGGTGAGATGGCTGAAAATCGGTGACAATGGTGTAGATGTATTCACTCCTTGACATCTTATAAAGCATGAATATTCACACTGACTAGTATCTTCAGATTGTTTATTTTCTCACATTACTTTGACTCCTTTGATGTCACTCTTTTTCTATCCACCTGTTGTTTGTATGCTATTGTGAAGTGTGACAACTTGAACCGATGTACCTGTATACAGCGTTTTGATTTTATCAGTCATACATTGTGCTGATATGAAGTGTAGCATCTTGGACGCAGCAGCACCTAGTTCTATGTTAATATTGATAACTATGACTTCAGAATCCAACTATGTTATTTATTTATGTTACATGGCGAAAGCAACTCACTTATGCAACTTGTGTATACTTTTATTCATAGTATTGTAGTTTCTGCGACTAAAGTCACATTTTTATTCCCGAAACTGACGTTTTAAAATCATCTCGTATTTAACTATATTAACTATAGTCTCTTTTAGATGGTTTGAAAGATATTGAAAATAATCAGTGGCGTGATGTAGTACACTTGCAACGTGGTTGGCTTGGCAATCTCAATGGAACACAAATGGAGTTCGATATACACTCATCATATGAACAACATAAAGCTAATCCTCGTCAACATGCTATGCTTTATTCAACTTCAAAATATGACCATTCAATGAACAGTAATGTAACAGTGAATGAACGAGTGGTTGTATTTACAAGATATCCAAGTTTAGCTGTCGCTGATCTAGTCAGTTATATAAGAGTTGGTCCAGATAGTGTATATTTTGCAGATATGTATCGAAAGGTAGGTGTGTTTATCATTGTGCTTTATTAAACAAGAAGAAAAGTTTGATCTCATTACCTTAAAGATAAGTTGCATCATTATCTCATGGATTTTAATAAAAAGTTCTTATCAAGTAGAGCTCCTTAGACAAGTACTTCTTCATACTTTGTACCGTTGTAAAAGAACAAACCACTCATTGAATCGAACTCAGAAACTTCAGGAGTTCTAGGAAACACGTTGGTCTATGGTTGTTAGTTTGAAATCCAATGCTCCACCTTTATTGTAGTATAACATGGCTACCCTTCATAGTGTTAGTGGGGAGCATCTTCATTCACTTCCGAATTTATTATTTTTACAGGCTATGGTTTAGCTTCATAACTTCCAGAAAGCTTATTGGAGTTAAATTTGTTAGTTGATGATTCGAAGAGGCGTCGTATACTGAGTTCTTTTTCCGAATGGCATACCTTTTTTTTTTGCCAGAGTACTAATAGCTGAAACTGTAAGTATTCACACTTTGGAGGAGGCTTCACTCACAATGACATTATCAAATTAGACATCATCATCAGTGTAACCTGACAGAGGAGTGAAATAATTTGCATTCTTATGAATATGCATAACTGGTAACTCTGCTTGAATCCACTCTGAGTGGTTTATTAGAAAAATGTAGGCTTAGCTGAAATCCCATTGCTGGCTGATACGTGATCGTTTAGATGGGAAGAAATTTGTCATCATCTCCCCTTTTTATGTGACTCGTGTATGGATCTCTAATTTAAGCGGTTCGGTTTCTTTGTTTGAAATACGTATAATTTGCCTTTCTTATACCATCGTTATCCTACCATGCTGGAAACGTCTATCGGGTAGTGGCAAAACCAAAAGCAGTTACTTTCGTAGTGCAAATAACTTACGCTGTGGTGGAGTTCAAGGGTGAAGCATACTGCTAGTTTTCCTGGCAATAAAAGTAGTAAGGTGAATAGTCACTGACTGACATGGCTTGGATATGTGTTCTGCATGCCAAGCCATAGCCTACCTCTATCCACGGTATTATTCGAAGCAGGACTAGATTAGAAGGGAACTAAAAGTCACCAGATCAAAACAGCATTTATCGACCAAGTCTCTAACTGCTGACATGACTCGTGTATCCAGGTGTAGATTGCTTAGTTGAGGGTTCAATAGATATAAGGGATTAGTGGTTGGAAAATGATATAGCTCGAAATTGATCGCACTGATGAGGTACATTGTCATCTTCGAGATTTTGGACATTTTCATGAACTTATAAATATATTTCTCCTCTCATACATGTTCACTTACATCACTGTCATTCTTCTTCTAAGCAGTTCTACTTTTCATGTTGTTGTGAATTGTGGTAAGATAAACTAATACACTTCTGTGCCAGTCTCTACACTGATTTGTCTACCTATGGATAGGTATTTACAAATGCATAACTAATTTTCATCATTATCACACTTATTTACTTGGTTGTGGCTAGCAAAAGAATGCAGGATGCGCGTCTCGCCCTATCTGGAACTCATCAGCTGGATGTACCTGCACCCCAGTGAGTGATATTGTCCCCACTGAGACTCGAACCCCGTACCCATAGCTTCAAACACCAAAGCGTTATCCTCTAGGTCACTGAGGCATGATAGCCACCTCTTGTACAATGGGTATTAGTTATAACTTTTGTTCATGTGCTTTCAGTTCTCCGTTGTTTGACTGGATCGAAGTGTTCTACCTGTGTTGACATATGGGTTCCTATGCGGATACGTCGATATTACCTGAATATTTATTACAGTGATTTACTTGATTGTCGTTACCAAAAGGATTCAGGTACAAGTACATCAACAAGAAGTTATTAGTACACTTAATTTGCAATCAAAGGCATATTCTGCCAAATATCATCAGCACTACCTTCAGTGGGATTACTGGGACCACTTGGAATTAGTATGACCTATAAACTAACAAATCCCCTTCAATCCATATTATGCAAGTCAAACGATGCAACAGTTAAAGATGACAAACCAAATATTATTTACAAAATCAACTGTAACAATTGCAATCAACACTATATTGAAAAAAATAGTCACCCCCTTTCCTTCGTTTACATGAACATCAGTTGACAATTAAACATCACGACATATCATCACTCATTTCAATGCACGTAGATAAATAAGAAGATGAATTCAAACTTGGAAATGTAGAGATTTTGGAAAGAAGAGATACGGAATATCAGAGAATTCCTAGAAGCTTGGCATTCAGGTCAGTCAGTCAGCAATCAATAGATGTAAAAACGAAATCTGTCAATCAATAAGAAAAGGGGTGAACAACTACAAGATCATGGGTCAAGCAAAGGAACAGCCAACAAGAAAATCGATGCATTCAATGACAGAAAAATCAAACCAATCACAAAGCAGTTGGTCAAAGCAAGCTACTGAATCACTCATGGAGAGGTACTGACAGCTCACTTCATGCTGAAGTTGGTGCTGCTGATAATGTCGTCTAGAAAGATGGTGAAAGCTCCACGATTAAACAATCCACTTCAGGGAACAAAATTCTACTCAAAAGCTATATTTCTTTGTATACCACTCAGTTCATCTTTCCATCTTACTAACCCGCCTTTATTATCATATATCGGTGTATATATTTTTCTCTTCATTTGCTTGTTGTATAAGGTTGAAGAAAAACGTGGCTCAAATTTTAGTCGAAAGTTGGTTTTACATTCTGATTGGGATAATTTAAGTAATGCCAATAAATTGTCTATTGCATCGTGTACATCAGTATCACCTTGGCCTGAAATTTTGGATATATCTGCACGTCATCCACTTACAGGACGTTCTATTCCAATGATTCGTGAAAATATTCCATTACCTCAACATTCCAGAGCTTATCCAAATGAGTTAGGTATGATTGTTTTCAATAAGTTTTTTTGTTTTTACTTGTCTGTACTGACAAACTTTAGCTGATTTGAAAAAAAAAACTATTGGAAATAATTTATTGCATAGAGAGGCATCATTTTAAAGTTTTTGAAGGACTATCTTTCGTGTACTTATAAATTAATCAAAAACTTAACTCACCTGAAAATTATTCCTTAGTGGATCAGTAAGCCGTAATGTTATTGTTTTTCTGTTTCTTGGAGCTAACTACCATTTACTGATACTGAATAATGGTTGTAGGTGAATAAAAATTTAGGCGACGGGGAGGATTCAAACCAGCGACCACCGGGTTTCGATTAGGTACTCTGCTAACTGAACTGAAAGACCCAACTACCAATCAGATTTTTATTTCACTTCATTCACAATATAATAATAATGAATCAATCAATGTGGTGTGTCGTTACCCAGTACATGTTTACGTCCTATACTTATGCGACTACCCGATTGAATAGGCTGTAGCAAGTAGGTTAGGATATGGACCTTGAACCAATCAACGAGTCACAACTCCACGCTGTCAAGGATACATTCCGGAATAGGCATTTGGATGTCTTACATACGCTACACACAACGTATCTTAGGAAAGCTAGATGGATTAACATTCTTATTGTATGCTAAGGTCTTAGGGAATGGACTTCATACATCAATCCCATCCAACAGATAAGTGAACTAATCGATGTACTCACCTTTCTCATTACCTTGAAGCTGCCTATCGGTTTGAACCCCGCATCATTAATCAAGGGCAGCAAAATAGGCGTTTTATTGTCTAGTACACGAATATGTGCTGGGTTATCTATTGTCCAATAGAACATCGATGCTTATCACTTCTGAGGTAGTAATTCACATTTGGGAAGTGAAAAAACGCAGTAATTGTTATCAGATTGTAAAACATAATTTCAATGTGACTTCTCTTTTGATCATCAAACTGGAGTTCGTCATCTGTATGCTTTATGTCGGTTAAGAAACTCTCAGATCAGTTCCTGAGAAGTCAAAAGACGAAGTTATTCACTCGATTCTGTGGGAGCAGTCCGAACCACGGGCGATGGGCGCGTTTACAAAATTCAGTCAACTTGCGTATTAGTATAATCGTCGTCCAATCAGTGAGCACCTTTCCTCACTTTCAACCTTGGTGTAACCTCATAGGTTGTCTGAACAATGTGATGCATTTGTGCAACAGTTTTCGAACAATGTGATAACGCATTCACTTGTTCAGTCAATTTATTTAAACTGAAAACTGGGAGAACAGACTGAATAGTTAAGATAATGGGGGACTAAAATCAAGAGATGTATACAAACGAAGAATAGTGTATTTGATCATAATCTTGGTAAGCAAACAAAGTTTGCGAAAGTAGGTTTAGCATAAGAACAAATTGCTTTTGTACACAAAAAAAGGTGGTTTCAATTTGTGTATGGCTATCGATTCCGCATATCTCAATATGCTTCTCTAACTGTTTCTGTGGCTGGTTTCTTCAATGGATATCCGTTTTCCATAAGTATTTTAGTCAATCTTTTGACATCATCTAGCGTCTCTAATACATAGATACGAAAGATTCTAACAAACAGGCATTTTATTAGACATCACTTGTATTCCATCAGGCAAAATCTGTCGAAATTCAGGTAATTTCCCGTCCATTGAAGCTTTCTGCAATTTGACCGTCTTGTTAAACCATTTTCTCAAAAGTACATCAAAGAATGGCAAATTGTTTTTTCTTCCCTCCTATTAGGTTGATACATTTTTGTACAGCGTCAAGTCTCCTTAATAGATAGTACGATCTGTCGTATATGTATATCATATACGATATCACTCTGCTTTATAAAGGGGATTTTGACATAGTGGCTGAGATCCACCATTGGTAAAAGAATATCAAGCTTATCCCAAAGCTAAACACTGCATAAATATTTATGTCACATCCCACTGTTTGCTAGTATATAGAAACATAATGAGGATTAATCAAGCCATCCTGTTAAGTGCAGGAGAATATGTACCAAGACGCTTGTAAAACAGTTGGAGTGTGAAACACGATACATGCAGACGTGATACAACCCCCTCGTTCAGAAACCGATCATAGAATTAAACACCTTTCAAAGTTTTACACGGAAATAGTCTGAGATGCATACTGAGATTTACGGAAGCGGTAATCATACGCAAGGAAATCGAAACCACCTTTGCATGTTCGATAACAATTTATTCGACGAAACATGCCCATTGAGTCATAGAGAAAGGAAAAGATAATTCAGTGAAGAAAATTTTTTTCTATGATATCATTTTCTCAAGCTGTAAAGTCGTATTTATATACATATCAGAAACAGATAATAGTAGTCTATTATTAAACAATAGGGTATAACTACATAATTAACCTAGTGCTAAAAAACCGGAATCAAGAATCAAAGTAGTTGCGTAATTGTCTTTTAGACAGTAGAAATAACGAGGAAGTTAAGGAGTTTGACAAGCTGAAAACTGAATTTTGAGGGAGTTGTGGAGATGTGGAAATATTTCAGGTTGTTATTCATCGTAGACTGACATCAGTTGGAGGGACAAAGGAAACCTGGGAGCACTGGACAGCTGTTTCATCTAGTATGGGACTCCTCAGCAGTACGCACCCACACTAGGATGAAGCAGCTGTCCAGTGCTCCCAGGTTTCCTTTGTTCCTCCAACTGATGTCAGTCTACGATGAATAACAACTTGAAGCTGAAAACTGTTGGTAGATGAGAAATGCGAATATCCAGTGTCCACTTGATATGCAGATAGATGTAAAGAAGGTGAAGAAAAACAATGGTCATAATAAAAGTGATAATAATAAACTAACTATTACAATGAAACGGAATTACGTGAAAGTGTTAAGACCATGGTGAGATAAGAGATTGAACATACTTCTTGTGTACTCAGAGATCAGGTTTGAATTGATGAGTTGCCGGTGCTTCTGCTGTGCACAACTGTCGAAGGCACACTCCTTTTGAACTATTCCATTTGACCCGATAAATGATACTGAAGGAGGACTCTGGTTGAGTTATATGTCCAGAGTTGGCGAATGTTCAAGAATTGAACTGTTAATTGATTTACATTCTGCCCTCGACAATCATGCAGGATAGTGCTGAGAGATACGTTTGGAAATTGCGCGGTTTATGTGGCCTAAATATCTAGCTTCAAAGGAGCAAACAAATTTGTAGACACACAAAGAGGTGACCCAAAATGACAAATTGTCCTTAACACACCCCAGAACTAATTGCTGACTAGAGAAGTTGATCTGTAGATTAGCAGAGAAGAATATCTTCTTCAGTGATCTGGACAGCCGTTTCTTCAGGAACTCTGTTGCCGTATCGCCTTTGAAACCAACGTTCATAAACAAGGTCTTCTTTGGAACTGTGAGTGCTTGCTCTGTATTCTGTTTTCTATGTGATCTCACTGAAGATAATTATTTCATGTGAGTATCCCAATCACTTTTTAGTCAGGATGGACAAACTCTTTAACTGCGTCTAGGTAGCTAGCAGCAGTCATGAAGTGGTGCGGTGTAAATATATAAACTGTCGTATTACTCTAAGTTAGTATCCATCACTGACTGACATCTGTTGCGGAACCATTGAGAACCTGGGAGCACTAGACAACTGTTTCGTCACAATATGAGACTCCTCAGCAGTATGCATCCATGACCTTACCAGGGGTCGAACTCAGAACCTTAAGGTCTTGTTGCAAACGCGTACCACTTCGCAAGTACCATACTAAGATGAAACAGCTGTCCGGCGCTCTCAAGTTTCCAAGTCTTCTCCAAGTGACGTCAGTACGTGATGAATACTATTTGATATAAATAAAATCCCCATAAACTTCAAAATAAATGGTTGTATTACTACTGTTAGTTTTTCTGTTATCGTTTACTTTAATTATTGTCTGTGACTTTTTGTTAAAGTCTTTTCTTTGAATGGTCGAACACAAAATCACCTCTCAGAATTATTGGATTTACCGTTGCCTCCGGGAAAATTATTATCTGAGAAAGTGGATTTGTCTAAACTGAATGAAGATGATTTGCAGCAGTGTGTAATCTACACACCTATATCTGAGGTATGTCAGGCTGTCTGTATGTGTATATGCACTCCCTTGCTTGCTTATGTTCTAATCCTTATTCTTATATCGTACTTCTTTTATCAGTTGTTTAATTGCTTAGTACAAGATATGCCAATGTGCAGTATTGTTTTCGATTAGATCTCAACGCCTTATTCTGACTGACAGAATCAATGTAGAATTTCGCACACTTCACAACAGCATACAAACAACAGGTGGGTAGAAAAAGAGTGACATCAAAGGAGACAAAGTAATGTGAGAAAATAAACAATCTGAAGATACTAGTCAGTGTGAATATTTATGCTTTATAAGATGTCAAGGAGTGAATACATCTACACCATTGTCACCGATTTTCAGCCATCTCACCATGAGTCCCCAATCATTGATTTTTTTTTCGTCTTGGTGACCTCCCTTTAGGCAGTTACCTCTCACCACATGACTCAAATCAACATAAAAGATTTCATTGGGTGGGGTGGAGGCTTATTCTAGTCACCGTGATCCCTCTTCCGACCTAATCTAACTTCCTCCAGCCTAGTATGGTATGTCGATGTGGGCGGTGACTCAGTATGCACAGTACATGTCTAAGCCATCTCAGTCGACTAAGGTTCACAACCTTGTCAATCGACTTGCCTGTCTTGCCTAGTACTTTGTCTCTGACTCCAACATTGCTGTCACAGTGATTCGACCGAAGGCGAGCAACGCTACGAAGACACCTGTGATCAAAACTTTGTAATTGTTTCATATCTTCTACTTTCGACGGTTGCATGTCACAGCCCTAAAGGAGGACAGAAAAGACTGGAGAGCAGTACATGTCCTTTGATAGATAGTCGGATATCTGCAGTCGGCGCCACAAATGACGCATGTTGGCAAATGCCAAACAGACGTGTATCGGAGGTGAGATTTCGTCAGCGACTAACCCGTTTGGGCTGATGCAACTCCGGAAGTGAGTGAGGTGGTCGACACACTCCACCCCTTCACTCTCTATCATTAAACTTGAAGTACTTGGAGTAGACCAGTCATAATGGAGCATCTTACTTTTGACAGGTGCAAGCGAGATACATACCAAACATATTCAGATTTCTGCTTAGTGTGTTCAGAAGTCCCTACATTTTGTCAGCATCATCTAGTCGGATAGTACAGTCTGTATACACCCAGTTAACCAGATGACCTCCAGGCAGTAGTAGATCAATCCCAGTAAAGTCAAACGTAACTAAGGTTATGTCCATTAGCACGTTTGTGGCGAAGTTCAATAGGAGCGGTGACAGTGTGCATTCCAGGCTACACCACTAGTTGTCCTCAATCCTGATAGCAACTTACTATAAACCCTTCTAATACACGGCTGTGTGATTTCGAATGGAGAACTCTGATTACCGTCATATATTTGCTTAGTAGTCGCTTCACAACCGGACACTGCCATAACACTTCACGCTGAAATATAGCATTGTTGGCTACCAGTAGGTATGCCTTTCCCCATGACCTGTCGTCGGGTGAAAATCTCATCGATTCACCCTCGTCCCAGATCTGTCTGAAAGCTACCTGGTTTTCTCGAGTTTTCTGTTCTTGAGTTCCTGTTAGGCGTCGGATAACTATGGACCCTAGGATCTTGGGCACAATGTTAGTTAAACTGATTCCCCAATGGTTGTCTCAAGAAAACTTCTCTCCCTTCTTATAGACTGGAATGGTTAGTGAAGTAGACCAGTCCGATGACACTACCTCTGATTCCCATACTCTACCTAGTACCTCCGTTACTCTAATCACCGATTTCCTACCTTCAGCCTTGGGAACTGCTGCTGCTTTGCATCGTTTCAGGTTCATTGCAACTTTTTCAACTTTAAGCAGAGTTGGCAAACCGACATCTACGTGCCATCTGGATTCAAGCTGGACGTCGGGCAACTGATGCGTTGCTGAGGGCCAGTTGAACTATGCTTCAAAGAGTTCTGCACAACGTTCTAGCCGCCTATCGTGGGAGGTTATCAGCGTTCTTTCCTTTTCGTCTTCTTGCCGGTATCCTTCATAAGCTTGAATAGTTGCCGAGTGTTACCTAACGTTAATGTCCTCTCCATTCGTCTAGCCTTTCCCACCCGCCACTGCTTTGTCAGTGCGAAGACTATTGGTCAACTTATGTTTCAGTTGCTTTCGCTCTTCACCGTGGTCAGAGCTAGGTGGAATCAGTCTTCTCGCACCAATCATTTTGGATGACGTCACGGAAATCCAGTGACGTTTGCTAACCTTCAAGTGTAGGTTATCAGTTTTCTTCTACAATAGACTTAATACAACGCCAGGATTCCTCAGTATTAGCACTGCTATCATGTTCAGATAAATGCTTAGCTATCTCTTCCTTAAATTCATAATTCTGATCTCCCAGCTAACCATAGACAGGCTTTACCACCGACTGTTTCCTGTGGTTAGTAAGGGGCAGACGTATATGAGCCCATACTGCATGATCGCAGTCTGAACTGGTACTCTAGAAAGAGCGTCAATCCTCCACTGATCCTCTCCAACGATGGTTTATAGCATAATGGTCTTTATGTGTCCATCGTCGGTTTGGTGTTCGGGGACGCCATATGAAAGTGTCTCTCCTAATCCCTTAAGTTGGTGCTGACCAAAAGCACGTGATTGTCCTGATAAAATTGCAGGAGACAGTCATCGTTGTCGGTTTGTTGGCATACGATTCCGTAACTACCACCAAGATGCCTTTACGATTGACTCAGCTTCGGTAATTGAGCGTTAAAGTCACCTGCCATTAAGACTATATCCGAACGTTTTGCTTTCTGTAGCAAAATTGATAGCTTCTCATAGAATTCATCCTGTGCATCATCCGAACTGTAGTCGTAAGGTGCATATGTAGATATTACGAATAGGCATCGCCAAATCTCACGACCTACCTAGTTCTTACAAATCCATTCAGTTGAACAACACACAGACTGCTGTTGGCTGGTATTCAGTCGAGAAGTGCACTTTCTCCCCTAAGGTTCAACTTCATGCCTACACCAGCGAGTTCACGAGAGCCAGCCACTGGGTCTGTGGATACTCATGAAGGGATTTTTAAATATTCACTACTACTGCCAGTTAAGGTCAACTCAATAACCTTACTCGGCTCTCATATACGTGTCTCAGAAACACAGGATACACCTATTGCCAGAGATTCCAGAGTTGTGGTGAGCAGTGCTTTCTGTCCGATTTGACATAGGATTTGAACGTTGAAAGTTTCAACGTGAAATTGATGAGCGGTGGGGTCTTAGGAGACTAGAAATGAGGTTTCGATCGTTGGCAATGGTCACAAAACGAGATGTTGAGGAGTATATGAGATGATTAACGTTAATATCAGGAGGTGAAGAAAAAGCAGGAGACATAATTGAAGAAGACAGGTTATGTTTGACTGGGTCTTGTTTACCACTGGAAACGTGCGGGCAGCTGACAGACATTTCCCAGCATCCCGCAGCGTGGAAGGTTATTTCTTCTCGAGGTATCTGAAAGGGGAAAAGATTTGTGCGACCACAAGCCCATGGGACATCTGCTGAGGCCTGTCAAATACAGCCTTTTATGGTTTGTTGTCCTGACGTTTGTTTGTTCTAATGCCGAATATAGAGAACCCATTACGCCATCACTGAAAGACTATGGGGCATGGTGGAATGTGTTATTTTTAGGGCGGACCTTCTTTAACTCTCACCCCTTCCCATTAGGAAGGCAACATCAGGGTGGCACTGTTGGCCATCCAAGAAATACACCTTACTGGTGTCGCTCCTTATCCAGCTAGGACAAGTATAACTTCCCCTTCAGACCCCCATCATAGTGTAGCAGTTTACACTACAACGGTAACTGCGTTTCGTCTTGTCACTATCCGACAATACTTTCTGGCATGGTGAACCTCTAGTGAACGAAATTTCCACCAGCACAGCTCGTTGGGTCATTGTGATGTGCAAACTCCACCGCCACTTCAGGGTAGCGGCTATCGGTTGGAGACCTTACTGTAGTATGCGTAATATAGCTTTGCGTGTTATTATTTTTAAGGCAGTATTCATCACGGACTGACGTCATTTGGAGAACCATTGAAAACCTGGGGTTATTGGACAACTGCTTCGCCCAATTTTGGGACTTTTCAGCAGTATGCATTACTAAATTACTGTATAGCGCTCACTGGTGACATGCTTCGCAGTGGATCTTCCGAAGTTCTACTGAGAAGCCGTGATCTGTGGAGTCAACCAGTCGGGAGTAAGACGGATGCCAACTGAAGACTTTGATGGATAGTCGTGCTGCAAATCGCGAATTCACAGAAGTAGGAAACTGTGGATCATTGAACCCCCGCCCATTGGCTGAGTGACTAACACTTTTGGTGTGAAATCTCCTGGTCCTGAGTTCAGTCCCTGGTGTCACTGTGTGTGCGTACTGCTGAGTAGTCCGTACTAAGACGAAACAGCAGTCTAGCGCCATGAGGTTTTCAATGGTTTTGCAACTGATGTCAGTCCACGATTAATACTACCTCAGAAATGAAATCCCCATTAACCTCCAAATACGTTATTATTATTAACAATATGAAGCATCAAACTAACCATGATATATTCGAAACCGTGGAAACAAGGTACGGAGATATGCAAATGGTAATTATCAAGTTTATCATAGTAATAATAGTAAAAGTTGCGTAATATCAAAGAGTGAAGTATGTCAATAACCAAAGTCAGGACAGATACTTTATTCACGTCAGAGGGAAAAAGCAAAGGAAAGGGATTAAAAAATTGAAATTTATTTTCCAAATCGTTTATTACAATTTCTCTGACCAAGAGTTGTATAAGCTTTTTCTGAGCACAATGACCCGAACTGTTTTCTGCAATTCCCATAGCCTTAGCCATATGTAATATGCGAATAAGAACTCTTTTTAAAAGGCTTTATGGGATACGATTAACGATTTTGAACATTTTGGGCTAATCTGTTACACCACCACTGTCGACTAAGTACTACAGAAATAAAGTTTATATTGATATAACTTGTTTCTTTCCTAGAGACGAATGTAGGTGTTCAGAAACGCGCTTGTTAAGCCGCCTAGTGGTATACTTGGTAGAGCTTACTCCATAGGAGCAGCTGAATTCGAAGAACTGGGTAGCCTGTCTTTATCTGAGCAACATTCATCTGCTAACTAGTATAAGAAGTCCTCTTGATGGCTTCAGACAGCCTCTGATATGAAAATTCACCAGGTAGGCACGTCCGCATTAGGTGCTTCGTCAATGACGGTTTATTTTGAATAGTTACTTGTTCAGATCTACGCATTTTCTTCATATGCCTTCTTAAAATACTGTGGGAGTATATAATGACTGTATTTTAGCTCCTTCTGTATAAAACCATTGTAGGAGATTTTTTGAATTCCGCTTTTAAGACAGTTAACTAAGCTTCTCTCATATCGAATGGGTACAAAGCTAAGATAATGTATGTACTGACATGTAGATGCGATCCTTCTGTGCAATGAGCAGTTATCTCTTCTAAACAACAAGATATCTAGAAAATGTGAAATATTTTCATATTCTTCCTCATAAGTGAAAGTGAAAAAAGAATGCGCATCATCAAATTTTCCTCTTAGCAGTTCGTCTTATTGACATTTTGATCACGGATAATTAATGCATCGTCAGCATAACTTTTGCATATATCCAGATTATTGACGATATTTTCCGGCTATCCTTGCTAAACGCAAGAAAAAACCAGCTAATATTGGGCCCAAAATAGTGAACCCTTGACAGTCACACTGATTAACCATTTCACGATACTAGGAATTGGATGTGGTTAAAACCTCATGAATAGAAAGTTGCGGTCTATCGCGTATAAGCTCAATTGTGTCTCATGTAGATGTTAAAATTAGACCCCTGTGTGAGTTCTTTAAGAATATACCTTCTCGTTTAAATCGATTAATTCACTAGGATTTTGAAACTGTACTTGGTTATTCAGGGAAGATTTCATTCCTTATTATTCTTATCAGTATTAGGATAAAGGTGGCATTCGAGTTTGTCGACCAAGAGGTGTTATGGAAGTGTCTGACTGTGAACGCGGTACTGACCACTGTATCTGAACTTACGTACCCGTATAACGGCTTATGAATGTATGAGGACTTAGAATACTAACCGGGGACCCGGATCGAAGTAGTTCTAGTTGGGTTTGAACCCGAGATCTACGTCTTGTAAGCGAAAGTCTGAAAGGTTGTTAGATGTGTACTATGCAACTACTGTTGATGTGACAGCTAATACTTGATGAACTTAAGGTGAGATGAGTGTGCACTGGAGTCCCCTCTGTTAAACTGAATCGATCATAGCGTGCATATTGTTCTACTTGGTAGTTTTTTTCAGTTGTTAAGTAGTCTGTTTTCTTAATATCTGTAATAACATGGTCTATTTCATTTTTAATAGCTTCACGGGAAAACAGTGGTGAGTCTATGCCTAAGGCTATGCAAATTCTAAAGGTGAGTTACACTAAGTTATTTGATTTTAATTGTTGAAGAAAATTGAAGTCGCTATGATGTTTTTTAAATAGTATACTCGCTGAAGTAATCGAAGGTTAAAAAGGATCATTGCGCCATTGATATCGGAGTTGAAGGTGTTGTTTATGCGGCAAAGGATGTTTAGTCGCGACATGTATTCTGTAGGCTATGAGTCACACGTAGTATGTGGAAGTTAGTTATACCATTTAACTGTGCAAACTTCTGTAGGTGGAGCTGGTTTCGAACGTATGACTCAATGACTGGGAATCAACTCCTTTAACCGATAAGCTACAGTTCCACAATTTTTACTAATAGTCATTGTGATTCTCTAATCAAGAATTCCTTCTGTTCTTATTAGTGTTGTTTTGTACAATTTTAAGTAGTACTCAAAATATGTTGAGTTATTTTTCACTCGCTTTAATTTAACTATCTTACATCCCATTGTGCCACCAAAAACAAGATATTCAGCGAAGGGGACCCTTTCCACTGAATTTATTCACAAGCTCTACATTCATATATATTTTATTTGAAGACTGTAATCCATGAGGAAGATTTAACTTAAATAATGGGGGGGGGATTGAAATAATAATAATAATAATGTTGCTAGTTTATGACATAAAGATTGAGTGATAACAAAAAGGGTTGCGTAAGATTTTTGAATCCTTTATAGGTGTATATAAATTAAAATGGGGTGAAAACGTGATAGAGGTAATAAACAATCGAAGGACTAGGTAGGATGAATGCGGCAACAGGTTAATCAGAATAAATTGAAAGTGCTTTTATACTGGGTGTGATTGAAGATGAAATGGAAATTTGGACCGCGGCCTTATTTGAACCAGCGATGACCACCGGGTTTCCAGCCCGATACTCTACGAACTGAGCTATGAGGTCCGACTACTGACCAGATTTGTACTTCACTTCAATCACCAAGGGTTTTTCCCGACTACCATGTGAATTCGTGACGCGTTACTATCGCTTGATTGTATTCACACTGGCTGCCTAGTCAGGACTTCTCATCCCAGTCCAAATCTAACTAAATCAGAGAGGGAGAGCATCATATCGATTATCATTTGACTGTCTGAGATAGCCGTGGTTTGGCAGGCTTGCAGTATTTATACTGGGTGATGATTGAAGATAAAATAAAAACTTGGACCACGGCCGGATTCCAACAAGCGACCACCGGGTTTTCGGCCAAATGCTCTACCGTTACGAATGCACATAATTGAAGTGAAATAAAAATCTGGTCAGTAGTCGGACCTTGTAAGTCAGTCAGTTGGTAGAGCTTACGGTCGATAACCCGGTGGTCGCTTGTTGGAATCCTGCCGCGGTCCAAATTTTCATTTCACCCTCAGTACTGTAAGTCTGCCAAACCACAGCTATCTCAAATGGTCAAAATGAAAATCTTTTGTTAAAAGTTGTGATTATTAGAAAGATCAAAATGAAATAACACCGGAAACAATTCAATATAAAAATAAACTGATAATGACGATATAAGAGTACAAAGATTAATCTGACAAAAGGGGAAGTTGAAGACTAAAATAAATTAAGGCCAGGGTAGAGACAATGACTAAACATACTTCTTTTGGACACAAAGGTCAGGCAGGGTTCATTTCATGTATAGCCAAGAACATTAGAAGTTGAACAAGGAGGAAATGTGAAGTGTTCGATCTAATTCTATAGACAACCTTAAAATCATTGGGTCGGTTGAATGGTTGGAATTGATTAAATGCTCAAGGATAGAGCTTCTAATGTATTTCCTTTTACCCTTATAAAACCAGGCCGGAATATACTGTCGTATACGTGTTGACAACAGTCTCTGGCTACGACCAATGTACCTTGCTCCACAGGAGCAGGTGAACTGGCAGATACACATGAATGTGGCCTGTCGAGGGATATTGTGTTTTATACAAATGGAGAACAATTTACTAGTGGTAAAGATCAATTGAAGTTTGGCTGAGAATAATGTCTTACTAATTGATCTGAAAAGATGATTTCTCAGGATATCTGATACTACGCCACCTTTAAGTCCCAGATTCATGAACAAAGTGTTTTTAAAAACTGAGCTGATGACTGGTTTCATATGTCTTTCTCACATATTCTTATCGATAAATCGGTTGGGATAGACGTTTTCCGCGAGCGTCCCTCTTAGAAAGTCAAGTTCAACTAGGACACAGTCTATGCTATAAATATTACGTATTCCATGGCATAGTGAGCGAATGAAGTTCCTCTTCCTCATGATAGTCACCCAGCTACAGAAGTTAGTAAGCTGTCCATTCCGTGTGGGTTTCCTGTAGATGGGTCTTTTCAGCGTTCTATTGTTACGTCCCGTAATCAGCACGTCAAGGAAAGGAATAGCTGATTCCAGTTCCTTCTCAATAGTGAATCCCAGTGCTGACCGACAGTTGTTAAACTCGCATAGGACGTCATCCAGATCGATAGTTGAGTCACAAATAACGAATATATCGTTTATAGATATCCAGATGATTAATAGTTTGGCTAAGATTTGGATTTTTTTCGACTTTGACATAAAGCATTAGAAGTCCCCGTGGGAATGCCATTGCAGTCCCATCATTTTGCCGGTACATCTCATGGCTTCAATCCTCCATTGTTGAAGTTGAATCTTCCTCACGGATTACAGTCTTCAAATATCATATATACACGAATGTACAGCTTGAGAATAAATTCGCTGAATATCTTGTTTTTGATGTCAACTATCTTAACCAATATCTAACTTTAGAGTCAGTTAGTTTCAATATAGGAACTCAACTTACTGTGTATAGTTATCGTACCTCACATCAATACATCCAAGATAATAAGGCAGCAAAGTGAACTGTAAAGGAAGTACACAAAACATGTAATCGAAAGTCGTAGAAAGAAAGTCATATGGAAATAGGTAAAACTTCATGTCATGTGATCTGATAAAAGCACGTACAGGAAACAGTAAATTCAAACATATTTTTAGCTTCTCCTCATGAATATTGCCTGACAGCAAGCAAAGAATTAGGATAGGAAACAACAGGCATGATGTGCAAAGTCATTTGTGTTCTTGATATTATGTAATAAAAAATGAATACATAAATGCGTACCTATATTGATTGTGTTATCGGTCATTGGTTCAGGTAGTTGATTTTCAACCAATGAGTCATGGAATCGAAAATCTCTCTCATCATCCATCAAAATTACCATAGGATCAGGCATGAATGCGTAACCATCCAAGTTGCCACAGCTCATATCAGTACATCAAGTAAAAAGGCAGTGAAGTGGAAGATGAAGAAAAGAAACATAAAGTACGAAAGCAGAGGAAGGAAAAGTGTGAAAATGGTGAGATTCGGTATAGCGTCGTTAAAATGAGGATAATGTATGTATACATCTGCACCAGTGACATGGGTTTTGAGCCATGCGATCGCCTAGAGCCTCTAACCACTGGTTTCTCTTGTCCCGTCGACCCCAACCGGCTAGTCTGCATCGCCCTACATGGCTGAAACCAACAGTCAGAAACTTCATACATTGATGCCATGTTTTAGCCTGACCGCCTCAAGCCTTTTTCCAGCCTGGACCTACTTCGGCCAACATTGTGTGACGAGACAGACGGCGACTAGGGATACGTGACACATGTCCCAACCAGCCATCTTAGTCGATGAAGGTTCACGACCGTGTCAACTGACTTACCTCTTCTCCCTAAAACTCTACACCTGACTTCTTCGTTATTCACGTGGTGACACCACAAAATACGGCCTATACTACGAAGGCTCTTCACCTACGGAGGTTTGGGCAGCCAAGTGGTTTATCAATAATACTCACATAATATATGCGGCTGATCACCGCCTACTACACGAATCTTCATAAAGTTTCTGCAAGCATTTCAGTTCGATTCTTCGACATACATTGACCAACATTTATGTATATCACCCCTTGCACAACCATGAATTTCATATCTTATATTAGTTGAATTCTTGAAGTTCACAGTTGTCTATGCTATTCAAACTTATAGAATTGTGGGCTTAAGATTCTAGGACTTGTAATATTTTTCTGTTTTTCTTGAAGTAACGTGAGATGTGAGGGTAAAGTATGAATCAGTATGCATAACACATATATTCCAGTCGCTTTATCTATTTATTAATGATGAATAGTGGTTAGCAGTGGGATTACGATTGATTTCAACATGCTGAGAATTTCTATAACATCTACTTTTGTTTAAGACGTGTTTCTTTCCTTTTAATTCAAGGTAAATGGACGTGGGGGTTATTGGTGTAATGAAGATCGTACTGATTGGTTGGTGTCTAGACAGCGTTATTGGGGTACTCCTATACCTATTATACATTGTGAAACATGTGGAGTAAGTAATGTTATGGTTTTTAAAAATTTATTTAGAAACTGTAGTAGTAGCCCAATTGTTTTAATGTATTTACGTCTTTCAACATACATGCAAAATATTTCTTTGTTTTTATGGGTGCCAATAGTCTGGCACATGGTAAAATATATACACGTTCATAAAGATAGACAGATAGAGAGACCGAATCAACGTTGAACCTCGCACTGAAGTGCATCGATTCAATTTGCAACACTTCACAGTAATGGACGGACTGATATCAAAGTAGACAAAGGTGCATGGGGGAAGGGAGAGGAAAAAACATTGAAGCTTTAGATCTCAAGAAGTGAATAGATCTGCGACATTGTGATCGATTTTTAGCCACATCCCCAAGAGTCCTCAACCACTGATTCCTGTCATTTCGGGGACTCCATTCACGCAGTCTACACCTTTATACGCTGCCCGGACTCTGATATTTAGCGACTTCATTGACTGGTGCCACATGTTACTGTGGCCACCCTTGAACCCTCACCGAATAATTTACCTTCCGTGTCTAATACCCTTCCACCTAACATCAGCATTTCTTACACAGTGATTGTACCACTTGCTAGTGATGCTACGAAGGCATATCTGATATCTTTTCACATCTATTTTCAGCAGCTGTATATTGCAGTGGTAAACGAGCACAGAGTGAACCGCAGCTCAGTAAACTCATTTTTAATAGGTAGTCGGATATCGTACCTACTCCATCAGTCGGAAAAATTGACAAGTGCCAAACGGGTTTTGTGCATTCAAGCTATTTCGTCATTAATCCATATATTGGGGTCTATGCAACAATACAAGTAAGAGAAGTGACCAGTGTCTTTCACCACTTCACTCATTTGTTTGAGCAGTTGATTTTTCAATCAGTAATTCACGGGTTCAAATCCCCCACCACCTACCGAGGTGTGCACAGCCAGGTAGTATCATCACCGTCATACGATAGGTTTCTCTCATTGCCTACTGAATGAATGTGGGTAAGGTTGATGAGTGCGTTTTGATTCTGGGAGTTGGCTGAAAATCAGTCACAATGGAGCAGATGTATTCATTCTTTGACATCTAAAGCTTGAATATTCACTTCAGATTATTTATTCTCTTATACTACTTTGTCTACTTTGATATCACTTTTTCTACTAACCTTTTTTTTGTACTACTGTGAAGTGTGGCAACTTGGACCGATGTAGTTCCCTCTGAGGTTCTGTGTTGATTTTGCTAGTCAGTCATTTGATGCTGGTCACTTCCGCAATATTGTTTCACATATGACAGATGCGAAACGCTCATCATACACATGTATGATTTCTTCTCAAGGCATTCAGATGACTCTGCATTCCATCAGCATCTTTGTTTAACAGAACTTTTTCGTTTGTGCACTCGTAGTTGACCAAATGCTCTCTGACGGGTAAGTTAGTCTCTATTAAGTCTGAGGCATTTTGAGTTATGTCGAACAAAGCATATTGAACGAAGTTAGATAAGAATGGTGCATAAGTACATCGTTGGTGGATACCACTAAGCATATCATTGGAGACATTGCTTATGAGCAAACATGTTCAATGTAAGCGGAACAGTATATGTTTACTTTTATTACTACTCTGTTGATTCTGAAGATTTTAATTATTAAACAAGGGAAAGGTTTTTTCCGTTGATTGGTCTCTGGAGAGCAACCAGCTTCATATTTTCTAGTCATTAGTACTGAACGTATGACATCGATCATTTCTCAATGTATCTCTCAGGGTAGGAGGGTCACCATTGTGGTGCACTTTGATGTGTTATTTGGTTGGAGGTAATCGGAGGGACTCCCTGAACGTATGTCTTTTGTTTGTTGGCATCCATTAGTAAGATGCATCTCAACCTTAGAGGGACTGATGTCCCTTCTGAAATTGGAACCCACGCCAATCAGTGCTGTAGTCAGTGACGTTACCACTGAACTATTCGTGCCTGAATAACACAATACCTAGGTCCAGGACTACTTGTCGATTACCTCCAACCAACTAACACTCATCAAAAGGTTATTTTGTCAAATACCATCATTGCTATCATTAGTCTCATTCAGTGACAATTTGCTACAAATATCTGCCACCATTTGTGTAGTATTATGTTCATGTTCCCTAGCATATATGAGGTCAGAGACCTTTTGTTGACGTTAAATGCATAAGCCTAAACATGCCACAAATTCAGTGAATCTCAAGGTAGTACAATATTAGCGGAAAGCATCATGAAGACGATATTTGGCGTATATTAGCTCATTGAAACTGTGGAACTTTTACATTGGACACATGTAAAACAGTTAATAAACGAGTTTGTGTTGGGCATACCAAGCCACCAATTATTTTAACGTAAGATTTTAGTTGAAACAAAAGCGAAAGGTGGTCAGATTCATACGTTGCATCAGTTCATGAATTCTCAAGCCATTGTTTTCAGTTTTGTAGGGGCTGGGTGAGTGGTGTAAACTGCTTACCTGGGATCTCAGAGATATTTTTATATGCAAAGTTACTACTACCCATTCTTTTTTATACTCAATTACTAATCATTATCTCATTCTTTTTATCGTATTTTCCTCTCATGAATAACAACAGATAGTACCAGTACCAGAGGATCAACTTCCTGTTCTTTTACCACCTCTAGAAGGGCCATTAAAACGAGGCGATGAACCTTTGAAACACAACGAATCTTGGCGTAAGACAGTATGTCCTAAGTAGGTTTCAACACAGAACTTTTTCATCACTGTGTAAACCAATCATTTAGTATGTTTAGTTTCGTGAAATGACCAGACAAAACCCTATTCTCGTTTTTTTTCTATTTATTACATGTCTTCATTAAGGAGATGGTTTAAACTTGTGAACGGTATGGGTAGTTTGGAAGATACTGCACATTCATGCAGTAGGCGGCAATGAGCCATACCTGTCTTGTGAGCGCTACTGATATTACCTGGCTGTCCAAACGTCGATAGCTGAAGCGGTGTTTCGATCTACGACCCATTGGTTGAAAGTCAACTTCCTAAACAATGAGTCACAGTCCCACAACATACGTAATACTTTGACGCCCATTTCCTGGATTCGTTAATCCCATTAAAGTAATGTGAACGGTTAAAATAGACGTTTCATAGGGTCTTTTACAAATGAACTAGATGATCGCGTGGTATTTACATCGTCTGGATCTAGCCAGAAAGGTTTGCCGAATGATGTATACATGCTGTTGCTGCCAAATTATTATTATTATTTGTCCCTTGAAATCCTAGTGGAGCATAGAGCTTCACTAGCACGTCGCCATTTCATTCTATTCTCTGTAGTCTGCTCAAGCTGGCTCCACGATTGCCTATAAGCTTTCATCTCTCCCTCCCACAATCTCATCCATGTCACCCTCGGACACCCAACTCGTTGGTTCCCCTTTGGGTCCCACTCGAGGACCTGACCTGGCACGTGATGTTCTCAAACCGTCTTCTCAGTCTATGTCCAATCAAATCCATCTCCACTTTCTTCCTCTGCATATTTGTTAGGTGATAGGTTCTTAGTTGGTTCGTTGCCAGCCGGACTTCCTTGTTGCTCATTCTTATTACTCTTGCCATCTATCTAATCTTCAGTGTCAGTATTGAGTGAGCGTAGGCGGCAGCTGCTCACATGATGTATGTATGCAGTTTGTTGCAAATGTCTTTCGTGACGTGTCAAGTCTCTCAACCATCTACACGGAAGCACTGACTTACTTGACTAAATTAGTGTTGAAAATCCGGATGTTGTTCACGCTTTATGCTGAGTGCAGTGCAGTAGATCTCCACACTGATTATTTCAGGTCAGGGAAGGAAGGCCTGTCTTGCTGTCTTTCCGATCCTGGCTGCTTCGACATCCTGCTCTGTGCCGTCGTCGCCACCTGTAGTTGAAATGATGCTGCCTAGGTAGGTTGGTTAAAGAGACAACTTTCTTTAGATTTCTGCTGTTGGTGGTGATTGGAGCTTGTTGTTGTTGGTAGTGGTGATTGGGTATCTTCATCATTTCTATCTTCTCTACGTTAACCTGAAGGAAGTCGCGTCTTCCTTCGCTGCCTCGCCTCTCCTGTCAACTTGTTAGTATTCTCCTGTAGATCTTCGAGTTTGTGCGACACTAGGCATAAATCTTCGGCGAAAGCTGCGGCATTTTGAACTGCACAACAGTTTTAGTGGGAATATTATCTACTCCATTTTTCAACGAAGATGGATGTGTAGTTTGGGGTTTATAGGGATTTTATTTTTGAGATTGATATTCACCACGGTCTGACATCAGTTTGAAAACCTGGAAGCATTGAACAGCTGATCCCCAGTAGTACGTATTCACGACCTCGTCCCGGCGGAGGTCGATACCGGGATAAGGTGTCACCCCTTACATGTTAACTATTCTACCACTGGATCAGAGTTCAATAGCCCATATTTCCCCATTTCTGTTAATCTGCGATATAGAGCATGACTATCCACTAAAGTTTTCAGTTGTTTTCCACTTCTCCTGACTGGTTGACCCACAGTTCATGGCTTTTCATTAGAACTTCAGGATATCTATCTCGAAGCCAGTTATGTAGTTTGAGATTTATGAAGATTTCATTTTTGAGGTAGTATTCATCAAGGACTGAAGGTCCTGAGTTCGATACCTAGCAAAGTTGTGAGTTGATGCGCTCCTGAGGAGTTGCATACTAGGACGAAACAGCTGTATATTGCTCTCAGATTTTAGATGGTTCTCTGACTGATGTAAGACCGTGGTGAATTCTTATATAAATTGAGACCTAATTTGCAGTCAGTCAACTACTGGGCTATGACTGAACATTCAAGGCATTTAACTTCTCACTAGTTATGAATCATGCAGTCTAACCCACGCCAACTAGTGTATTTTCTTCAGCCATTTGACTGACTTGTAAACGAGTTATGCATACTTTATTATAAGCGTATATATTTATTTATTACAGATGTGGTAACCCAGCCAATCGTGAAACGGATACACTGGATACATTTGTTGATTCATCATGGTATTATCTAAGATATTTAGATCCACATAACAATACAGCAATATGCGATATTGAGAAAGCTACTGAAAGTTTACCAGTTGATGTATATGTTGGCGGCATAGAACACGGTAAAATTATCTTAAAATATGATATAAACTGCCTAATTTTTACAATACTATTCAGTCTTTTTTATAAATAATAAGGTTCAGTTTTTATATGACAGGGTGTGATATAGCTCTGTGAAGATACTACTGAACACTCTGAACACGTTGAATGGCAATTTGATAATGCGTGAGATGTGTTTCTCACCGCCCAAATGCAAATCATTGCTCTAGAACTGGTTTTCATTGGTGCTCTGTCTAACAATAAGAAGCGAAGCGGTTGAGCGCGTTGACCACTTCACTTACATGGGAAAGTCGGATGAACCCTGATGGGTCAGTGACCGAAGAAATCTCTATATGGATACAAAAACCCATTTGACTTTCATCAAATTACACAATTTATGGCGCTGCTATGATATCCGATTGTCTATTAATGGTTGAGTTTATTGGACTGCCGTTCGGTTTGTCTTACTATATCGTTTTAAATGGTGGAGGTTAAAGGTAGAGGACATGAGAAGGAGTCAGGTACTTGATCATCGTTGCCTTTGTAGAATACGCTATGTGTTGTGGTGTCACCAAGTCAGTAATGCAAAAGTCAGGGTTAGATTTTTAGGGAGGAGGAGGAGGAGGAAGTTAGTTGATGTGGTAGTGAACGTTCATCTATTAAGGTGGCTGGGACGTGTTTTCGGCATACCTAATCATCACTTGTCTCACAGAATGTTTGCTGAAGTACTTTAAAGCTGAAAAAAGGTTTGAGTTGGACAAACTAACGCGATGAAAACAGATTCTAAGGAGTCTAGTGACTATATCTATAAGAAAACTGTGTGTTGTTGACAGAATCAGCAGTTCGCCAACTTTATGCAACTCGTGATGAATACCGTCTTCTTAACAAAATAAATGTATATTAATGATGAATATTTGTACACAATGATGTTCGTTAATTTTGGCAATATTTCGAGCAAAATTGCTGTCTGGGATCACACCAACCATTGGGATCATTACTTATTTTCTGAGAAATGATGTATGTCCACTTCCTGAACGTTCTGTTGACAAGAAGCCATGATAGAACTCTAAAGAGATCGATCTACTGGAAATAAACCAGGAATGGACAAAAAACTAACTTTCAACGCTGGATTCCGCTAGTCAAGAAAATAAATCTAAATCATTCACTTTGCACTCGAATTAGAAGAATTTCTACGGATGATGCAGTAAATGAGGAGCTAGAAGTATTCCGAAGGGTGTTCATCGAGAATGTTTATCCATCAAGATTCACTCACCACCGTGCCAAAGAAGATGCTACTTATGAATACTGAATACATCGACAGAGATACTGAAAACTCAATCGTGCAAAACACTGAAAAATACCTTCAATTCAGCCCAGCATCGGATTGTTTTCTCCAATCAACAACTGATTCGAGAGTATGTGTAAAGGATAAACTGCCGTCTTGGACCACCTCCTTGGGTACTTACCAATTCTCCTGCTCTTGTAAGGCTGGTTACATAGGCCACGCAAAACATTTTCTATTCAAAGGAATCTCCGAACAATATCCTACGTGGTTGTCTATAGGAGTGTGTAAAGCCATTAACCGCTCGATTCTTGAGCATTTGTTTAACTCTGGTCACTTTGCTTCACAAGAATCTTCTTTCAAAGTTATTTATAAAGTGAAGTCAAGCATTTCGAAGGGTATGTGTATTCTCCATCTCCAACACAGTAGAGGTTTTGGCAATCAAACGGTACAAGCTTGATCTTTGTGTTCAAAAGAGATATATTCAATCTCTAGTCTTACCTTGGTTGTAATCTCTCTGAGAGATTTTATTCATTTCTTTGTTTATCCTTTATTTATTGTTTTATTGTAATCTTATTAGCGATTCTTCACGGCCTTGAGTTGACCTTCTAACCGTTATCGCCTTGTGACTTTATTGACTGTTTACAATGTCTTCGTATTGATGCATCACCTATTGACGGATATATATATATATATATATATATATATATATATATATATATATATATATATATATATATATATATATCGTCGTAACTACGATTGCAAATTGTACAGGTTTTGAAAATAATTCGTTAATGAGAAAATTTTCTTCGCTGAGTTGTCTTTTGTTAGTGCATGTATGAGTTGATATTCTACCAAGTCATGTCTATCCGTACTCTCATTGGTCACTGTTGTTCAGTGACCTTGACAAATACTATGATTTTATTGGTTATCACAAATAAAATTGATCTCATGTATATATATATATTGCTAGATCGAGCTGCAGTTAAATGTATTTGAGATTGACTGAAATATACCTGTTACCATTACAGTCCTTATTCTCCCTACGTCTATCTGACGTACTAGTTCTCATAAATTCTGAATGAGAAATAAATAATTCATGATTCAATTACGAAACTGGTACAGGGAACATTGCAAGTTACTCTCTTCTTTTTTTTATCTATGAGGAGTTTATGAATTGTGGAATGAACTAGTATCTTATAAATAAGTTTGAAATCAAATTTCCCGTACCACTGTAGAAACGAAAAAACGGAGAGGAAGGAAGGAATGTTCACTATTGACATATTATATAGTAGTCTTCAAATATTGTACACCTTCCATTAAGACAGTTGCTTGTATAATGTGCTTCATTTCCTCTTCCGCTTCTCTCCTGATTCGTTCTTAATACGCCCACATTGTCTCTTGCGTTTCTCTGGGCAGAATCTTTACCTATTGCTGGTAATTTCCTATGATTTTTGCCGCCCTCTCAACATATAATAATTATATTCACTCTGATCAGCAACGCTCACTACACTACGATTGGTCTTATGGTTTCGGTAGTATTGGAAGCAAAATTTACTGACGGTAACAAAATCAAAGTAAAACCTTGTATAGAAGCCCTGCAGGTCAAATTGTCACACTTCACAGCAAGATAAACGCAATACGAGTGATATCAAAGTAGACAAAGGTGTATGGAAGGAAACAACTTTTGACAAATTCTGGGTCGTATCATGGGTGTGTGCTGCTGAGGAGTCCCATACTAGAACGAAACAACTGTCCAGTATTCTCAGGTTTTCAGTGGTTCTCCAGCTGATACCAGTCCGTGATGAATACTACCTCAAAATGAAGATTCATCAAAATATTTAAGCTGTAGAAGACTTTAGAGAGTGAATACACCTGACCTATTGTGACCGATTTTAAATCGTTTCACTAAGGGTTTCTAGCTGCTGTCGTTTCGTTGAGATCGAATGAAACAAAGCCTAAATTTTGAAGTCTTGCAACAAAATAGTTATTGAATATGAATCTCCTTATTAAATGTGTCATGCAGTGAAACAATATTCTTCACTGGATAACGTTTTGGAAATGATTTATTGTCCATATTCAAAGTGGGCAGCTCCATAACTTTGAGACCTGGTTGATATAGTTCTAATCCCTCTCTTTCTCTGGGATGAGGGTTATTGAGTCGCTTCTTCAACTCATCTCATCCTATCCCATTTAAAGTAACCTTTATCAAATGCTAAGTAGTAGGACAAGATGGTCTACTAGTAGGACAAGAAATTAGGCACATCAAAAATACGCTACATCTCAATAATTACCCATCTAAATTTCCCAATAAATTCATCAGAAATCGATAGGAAAATATAAGCAGTAGTAGTAGTAATACAGGTGTTATTAATGGTAATTCTACTAATAGTAGTAATAATGATATCAGGATTGAGACAGAATTCAAAGCCTCTACTGTATTACCATACAGTGGAGGCACCTCAGAAGCCTTACAAAGAATGATCAATAAAGCTGGCTGGAATTAAAGTGGCACTTAAACCAACAAACTCCCTCAGAAACAAGCTTTGTAGGTTAAAAGATCCTATCGATGTAATTAGGCAAAGTAATTGAGCTCACCAAATCACCTGCCATGATTGTGACGTGGTCAAATACGTAGGTCAGAATAGTCGACCAGGGTAGATCAGAATAACAGAGCACAAAATCTTAGCTGAATCAAGATTAGTAGACCCAAATACGAGCAGAAATCTAGAGAAAATCTCAACTATAGTCATCAAGACGATGGCACACAGAGGGGGACTATAGCGGCAGTATTAAAATTGGACTTATTTGGATGGATAACCTCGCCTTATTTGCTAGTTCACTAGTTTACTAGCCCGGATAAAGAGGGAAGGTTGGGCTTGGGGCTAGTAACCTTACCCCGGAAAATTAATCCAGTCGCTAAAGAAACTTCAAAGCACAGAGGAAATAGAAAAAACAAACTTATTCTTCTCTGGAATCGGGGAGACGAAATGATGCAGGTTGATGATAGCTTTTAGGAAGCCAATTGCGACGTGGTCAAATACATGGGTCAGAATAGTCGACCAGGGTCTATTAGAGTAACAGCTCAAAAACTTAGCTGGATCAAGATTAGTCGATTGTAACAAGATGAGGAATTTAGAAAAAAGCTCGGCTATAGCTCTGTCCTCAATTACACACGATAGGCTGGGATAGAGCTACAAAATTAAAAACTGACTTAGATTGTTGAATGAATACCGAATACATGCAATCGAAATGATTCTGCACCTGTTCCATGCATATGGAAAATTCTACTACCCTTGTCATCACAAAAAAGGAGAGAAAATTAGGACTATATAAATTCTGTCCCAAAGTTGTTGTGGAGTTAGCTGATAAGAATATGGACAATAAATTGTGTCTGAAGTGTTGTTATTCAGTAAGTTATACTGTTTCTTCACTGTGTGACATTTCTTATAAACATACTAAAATGGAATTACAATCTACCACAGTCCCCAAGCTCTACTCCTATAATAATACTTGATGTGAAAGCATGATGTGAGGAAGAAAGAAGCGAAGTAAATACTCGCAGCAAAATGTTGGTAAGCAGTCATTATCCGGTGCCGTTCATAAAGGATAACATTTTGAAGGCAGAACAGAAAGTATGAACAGAAGTGGATGTAGAAGAGAACTGTGAAAGAAGAGTACTTAAGAAATAATGAGAAGAAATCTTAGGAAAACAGATATTCGTACTATTATCAAGCCAGTAAATCCCATTAGGAACGGAATAATTCAGCAAGAGGGTCACGCTGACAAATCTGATGAAAATCGCCATTATACAAAGTATCCTAGGCTGACTGTCTGCCTAGTTATATGGCTTAGACTGGATATATCGATACTGAAGATTAGCTGAAGGTCAGACTACAGATACTCAGTGGTATAAGCGTTCCCACCAAAGTTCGTCGATAGCAGTCTATGAATGAAACAATTCTGCCAACACATATTAGAAGAACATAAAGAGGAGTTCTCGTCTGCATTTCTGAACATATCCCAAAGAATTTTAATTCTAATAAGTTCGTAACGTTTAAGTAGCTCATTTGGTCGACACTGGACGTCATGTTGATGGATCGAAATTTTCTAAAGTGACCAATAAACAAACGGATCGCTAGTTTTTGTTTTTCTCTAAAGTAGTCTAAATTTAAAAAAAACTCAAACGCTTATGAAACCTAGTTTCTTTGAAATGAGGATGTTCTGTGAATCTGGTTCTCTGATTACCATTGTCTCTGTAGGTGTCTTAGACATGTATTCCGCTTGACAAGCTGCCGCCTCCCTCGACGACTTGCAACGCTAGGAGAAGTTGAATTAGGTCGGAGAAAGCCTTAAGATATCCAAAATAAGACGTGACACCAATCCATGAAATCTAACTCATAGTTTGATCAATGTGGGAAGGTGTAAACTACCCGGATGGAGGCCCCAAAATGATAAGAAACAGTGGTTGAGGACTCTTAGCGACATGCCTGAAAATTGGTCACCATAGCGCAGGTGTATTCACTATTTAACGTCTTCTAAAGTTTAAATGCTTTGACTAACTTTCATTTTTAAATATATTCTCCTCCCAAACACTTTTGTCTACCTTGATATCATTCTTTTTCTATCCACTTCTTTGTATGCTTCTGTGAAGTGTGGCAACTTGAACCTACGCAGTTGTGGTCTACGTTGATGTTTCCTGTCGGTTTATCTAGAAACACCATAGAGTTATTCGGAGATGAGACAGCACATGTTTAGACACGATGGCGATCGTCATTCACTAAATGTGTTCCTTAATAAACACCAGCTTTGGTGGCTTGGATACTTTATACGAATGCCATCCTACAGGATTCCAAGCTGTTCATTATTCACTTTTCCTGCATCTGGTCGGAAGAAGCGTAGCACTGGTCAGTTTAAGATGTGACACTGTCGGATGAAGGATTGTTGTGTCACACCAGAATCTATTGGCGCCTCTCTTTCAGAATTCAACCCATTGATGATCGTACTGGAGCTTTCTTGTTTCTACCGTTATCGAAAAATAGAACAGCTACAACAAAAGCTTTCTTTCAACGCCCCTTATCAAATCGATTATCTCTTCAATCTACTTGTCTTTTCTTGCCCCCTTAGTGTTCTCGTGTGGTACATTTTTTGCTGCATGTGTTTTGTTGAGCTTCGGGATATAAATACACATTAAATGTAGTTGAGGAGCCGTGGCTCAGCGGTTTAGATAGGTGACTTTTATCCATAGTGTCATGGCTTTGAGGCCCACTCTGCCTACCGAGGTTTGGACAGGCAAGTAGTATCCCTAGTCCTCACACAATATTTGTGGCTCATTGCCAACTGCACAGATGTGCACAAGGTGGCTGATTGCATCTGTCTACCAGACTGTACAATTGTTTTAAGTTGGAAACTGCTATGGCCGCTAACGACGCACGGATATCGAGCGTCAACCACCAACGTCCAACAAATTCCCACTTGATTTCCTACCCGACTAATTAGTGGAGAAGATATGATGGACGTGTAGAGACGTGTGTTGGGGTCGAAACACCGAATACCAAAAACAAAGGAAAATATATCTAATATATAGATAGTTTCCTGTTTAAAATAATACTGTGGATTGTTTGATCTACCATCTACCTGTCTGGTTGTAGATGTGATAACACAAAGTACATTTTAGTTGATCCCTCTCCAGACTAGTCTTTTCTCTCTATCCCTATATCATCTCCCTCTGCGAAAAAATATTATTTGGGATCAGGCTTGACCGCACTGTCTTTTTCTTGCATCTATCCGACCGACTCAGAGGGAGTTTCTCCTTGTTTACTGGGGGTTCAGTAGTCTCCTCGATATTCTTTCGGAGGGCAGGTGCACGAGCATGGAACTCAGCTACCAAGCCAAAAGACTTACCTACCGATCGAGAATGAGATCTTCGGCGGTACCTGGACGATGACTTTTGTACACGTCGTTGTGTGTGTTCGCGGCGAAAACCGTCCTTATGGCCCGCAGCATTACAGTCCCGGCATCGATGTTGTTTATGTGGACAATATTTGACGAAATGCCAGCAAGGCATTGGGGGTATCTTCTTTCAGGGTCGGTTAGTATTGCCTGAGTTACTGTGCCGGTGAAAAGGCGAGATAAGGTCAGGATGTGTATGGCTAGATGGTGATGCGGAGGAATGAAATATCTGGAAAACTGTATGCACTTCAGAACCAGTATGACGTCCGGATTGAGCCAATCTCATATCGATGTAAGTTGCCCAGTCGTTAATATTCTGCAGATGTCATTCAGTATCTGAATCGGGCCATCGAAATTACGATCACTTGGGTTTTGTGGCGAAATCGTGTTGCTGTGCTGGTCTAGCTCAAGTGGACCAAGCTTTCGAAATGGGAGACATACCTTGCCGGAATCATCTTGGCCAGCAAAATTCGCTTTGAAGTAGTCTTCGTAACCCCTGAACCAATAGCTTCTGTACTATTTCGCTGTTCATTTTATTTATCAGCATACCGTATATGAAATAAATCTTAACCTTCTGATTCCAGTTTCGGATACAACGTTATGAGAGGTATCTGTCTTTGTAAGTTATGAGTGGTGTCTTTAGTAACTAGAAATTGAAATCCTCTCAGCAGCCTTGTGGATATTCACTCAGTAGACAATGTATGTGGGCGCTAATGAGATACTGGCTGGTTGTCTACACTTTGGCAGGTGGAGCAGTGTATTCAAAGCTGAGACTCACAGGGTTGCAACCAATGAGCCACAACTCTACCTAATAGCTAAAATTACTGTTTAAACTTATTATATACCAGTATATGTTTGCTTACTATTTATTGTAACGTGTGATAAGTAATACTATGATAGTTATTATATGTCCTTATTCAGCTCCAAGATTTGAATTCTAAGTAGGAAGTCTTTTAAGGCCATATTTTCCATGCAGTTTATTGTGTTATATATTTTTTCTGATGTTGTTTAAAGTATCCTAGCTCAAGTTGTTTGTGATTTCTTCATTTCTCTTCTCTGTCTACAGCTACTCGACATCTTTACTATGCTCGTTTTATTGCGCATTTTCTTCATGATATGGGTATACTACCATGTAGGGAACCATTCAAGAGTTTTCTTCCAGTTGGTTTAGTTATGGGTGAGACGTATATTGAACCAAATACTGGTCGTTTTGTCTCACCAGGACATGTTGATAAGAAGTATTTATCAGACAAAACAGGTAAGTTGAAGTTGTGCTTATTATTATGTATTAATTTTCTGTTGGGTTCCTAGTGGAACATAGGGATTCAGTAGCACGCCTACGTCTTTTCAACCACGCCCTACCACTGCCCACAAGCTTTCATTTCTTCCTCAAATCATCTCCTCCATATCACCCTCGGCACCGATGATCAACTCGTCGTTTCCCATCTGGGTTCCACTCGACGGCCTGGCCTAGCGCGTGGTGTCTCCAATCGGCCTTCTCAGTGAATGCCCAATCCATCTCCACTTTCTTCCTCTACATATTTGTTAGGTGATAAGTTCCGGGTTGATTCGTTCCCAGAGTTTCTTGTTGCTTATTCTTGTTATTCTGGCCATCTGATCTTCAGTAGCGAGCATAGGCAACTGTTGATGGATGTCTGTAGTTTGTTGGAAATGCTTTTCGTGACACGCCAAGTTTCTGAACCACCACATAGCAGCACTGACTTGACATTGGTGTTTAAAATCCGGATGTTGTTCACGTTTTATGCTGAGTGGAATGCAGTAGATCTCCATACTGATTTCAGATTAGTGAAAGCCTGTCTTGCTTTTCCGATCCTGGTTTTGACATCCTTGTCTGTGCCGCCTGTAGTTGAAGTTGTGCTTGCTTGAGATTTATTGCTTTATGTCTTGAGCTATTTTGGTTATCCTAGTATTTCAGTTCTAGGTTGCCTACATTGGTTCTGCATATCTATTTATCGTGGAAAATTCAACCATAGTTCAGGTTGAAATAAATTTCTAACGGTTTCAGACTGTTCTACCGCTATCTATTTCGTTGTACCAGGCTGCTTTGAGGCACTTTACCGTCTGTATATAGAGATAATCATCAGAAGTCAAGTTACCCTTACCATTGAACTAACTTTCAATACCCACAAGTTTACACCTGGCAAATATTTCTCATTGTTTAAATTCAGGACTGTGTTCGTAACGCTTTGTTGGATGACATATAGGTCCTTTTATACGAATGCTCAGATATTGATTTCGGCAGATTATATTGTGTATTTCTCGTCTTGTTTAAAGAAAAACATAACACTTACATCCTGGTAAGTGTTTATTGAAGTTGTGATGTGTTTAGGTGAAACTACTATCTTAGAGCCTAGTTACCTGTAATCAGTAGTACATGACTATGTGTGTTCATCTTACTATTTGACACTATCGAATTTATTACCAGTTTGACTATCTGAGATAACCGTTGTTTGACAGACTTGTCTTATTCATACTGGGTGATGATGAAAGGTGAAGTGAAAATCTGGACCATAGCAGGATTCGAACCAGCGACCGCCAAGTTTTTGACCCGATACTGTACCAACTGAATTACGAGACCCCGCTGCTGAACATATTTTCATTTCACTGCTTGATTATACCTACTGGCTGGCCAGTCAGGACTTCTCATCCCAATCTAAAGCTAACTGAATAAGAGAAGGAGAGCATCATATTGATCATCAGTTTCACCATCAGAGAATCGCATTGAGACTGGGTGAAATGAAAATCTGGGCCGTGGCAGCAGCATCGAGCCGGAAACCTAGTAGTCGCTGTTTCAAATCCTACCGCCGCTCAGATCTTCATTTCACCTTCAGTCATCATTCAGTATCAATTTATTATCTAACGGCACTCCTCTCCTAGGCTAAACTTGATGTACATCAAAATATCAGATGGCTGGCCTAGTGCCTGTGTACATACTATGCAATAACGGTCATCAGACTAGGAGACTTTGATTGATGTTAGATGGTTGGAAGTCAGTTTCTGCTTAAATAGCTTAGTCACAACATCTCTGACTTCAACACACTGGTTGAAGAGGGTTTAAATCTCTCAGGTGACATAAGATACGCTGCGCTGACGAGTGGTAATAAGGACGTCCTATCGATTGCCTCTCATCATCAACATAAGACCAGGCGTTACTGCGTAACGGTCCGAGTTGCACACCGCTCATATCAGTACATCAAGTAAAAAGACAATGAAGTAGAGGATGAAGAAAAGAAAATTCAGTCAAAATAAGTATAAAGTACGAAAAGGGAGAAAGGAAAAGTGTGAAAATGGTGAGATTTGGTATAGCGTCGTTAAGATGAGGATAATGTATGTTTACATCTGCACCAGTGACATCGGTTCTGAGCCATGCGATCACCTAGAGTCAATCTCCAACCACTGGTTCCTCTTGTCCCGCCAACCCCAACCGGCTACTCTGCATCGCCCCACATGGCTGAAACCGACAGTCAAAGACTTCATACATTGATACCATGTTTTAGCCTGACTGCTTCGGGCCTTTTTCCGGTCTGAAGCTACTTCGGCCAACACTGTGTGGTGAGACAGACGGCGACTAAGCATACATAACCCATGTCCCAACCAGCCATCTCAGTTTTTAGGCGGATACGACTCTAAGGAACTTCTATGTATGCTAGCGAGAGAGAGAAGTGGATTGTGAGTAGATCTTAACCATATGACTCAGTAACATATTATTCCTTCGACTTTGTCATATAATTCCAGCTTTGTGTTACGATTAAGCGCACACCGAGAAGGCATTGCCGTCCAAATGACTGTGCGTATATGAACTGATAAAGTGTCGGAAACACTACCTCTGCTTCTCATTTTTAAATATCTTCGAACAAATGATTGTTATGGTGAAAAAATAGAAGCTGCGTTACTGAGAATTATTGAGAAATTCAAGCGAATGCTGGATGAAATCCAGGCAGATTCTACATTGACAAGCCTTCAGATTTTGAAAGACTTTTCGTAAATACTTCAATGGTGGGCATAGTTCAGCTGAAAATGAGTTCAAGTAACCTGATAATATGAATCATGTTTTGTCGACGAATGAGAATGACATTCACGTCTTGACTACCCACCATGAAATAGTAAATGATCCATACATTCAGTCGGATCATGTTAACGAATTTCATGAAGTACTTGTCGAGAGTTCGCAAAATGATGTAACCTGTTTAGTGTGTCGTCCAACCTTTCTACACATCTATTTTTCACAATGAATGTTCACAAGGAGTTATCAAGGAGTACCAGTGCAAGCTGGAACGTCAACAGTTACACACATACTTCAGAGGGTTCGAAGCCTCTGCAGATATATCAAACGAGATAGTTGCTTTTCATCATAGTGGTTTACTTTGTCAAAAACAACTTATGTCTATACGAGGAAATAGACCAGAATCGTCTGCAAGCCAACTCTACTTCAGATATCATATCCACTAAAAACCTCCAAATTCACAGGTCACTCAGTGAATCAGGCGGTCAGAAGCAAGTCATCGAGGTAAAATACTATGGTGTTGACCATGGTGATTCATCGCATATGGGAGTACCTTATCATTCCGACCAAATACACCTAGATTACTCGGGCTCAAAGTGGACACGAGATCTGAGGCCATCATCGAAAAAAAAACTGAGGCTTGTTGGCAAACAGAAGCAAAACAATATGACATCACTCCCTGTGACCAAACGAAAATTCTGGACTCGCTATGTGGACGACTCTTTTGTCATCATTAAAAAAGATGATTTAGAATACACTCAGTTTGATCAACAACGTTTTCAATGACATCAAATGTACAATGGAGAAAGAGTCAAACAATCAACTACCATTCCTGGATGTTCTACTCAGTAGGAAAAATGCCGGAAAGCTGGAAACCCAAGTGTCCACGAAGCCAAGACACACTGATCAAATCCTCAACTACAGTAGCAACAACACAAAATCAGTTGCGTGCAGACTCTATTCAAAAGAGCGAGAAAACACTGCAGTACAGCAACTACACGGAGAAGCGAAGGAAATTACTTGATGTCCATCCTAAAGAAGAAAGGCTACCCACGAAACTTTATCAGATGTCTATCCCGTACAACATCAACTACAAAGTCATCGACAGAAGTCAATAAACGCATCTTCTTACGATACATAAAGAATATATCAGAAATCACAACAAGATTACTGAGACCACTTGGAATCAGTGTGGCTCACAGACCAACCAATCCCCTCCAAACACTATTATGCAGACCAAAGGATGCAACAACAACCAAATAAGACAAACCGAATATCATTTATAAAATCAACTGCAATTACTGTAGTCAATACTACATTGGACAGAGTGGTCACCCTCTTCGCCTTCGTCATTTACATGAACACCAATTGGCTATTAAACGTCACACACGACATTTCATCACTCATTCCAATGCACACGGATAATTATGGACATGAATTCAATTTCGACAATGTAGAAATTTTGGACGTAGAGAGGAAACACAAAGAATATCAGAGAATTCCTAGAGGCTTGGCATTCAGGTCAGTCAGTCAGTCAGCAATCAACAGATGTATAGACATAGACTCGATCTATCAAACAATAAGAAGAATGATAAAGGACAGAAAGGTCAGAGGTGAAGCAGAGAGAGGAACAGGCAACAGGAGGATCTATGTAGTCAGTCAATGACACAACAATTGAAGGAAACAACCAATCACAGACCACTTTGTCAAGGCAAGGTACTAAATCAATCACTGACTGACGGGTGGATATTGACGGCTCACTTTTTAGTGAAGTTAGTGCTGATGATGATGTCATCTAGAGGGAGGTTGAAAGCTTCATGGTTTAACAACTTATCTCAGGAAACACAGTACAACCAAAGCCTAAGAGAATTTGGTTTACTGAAGTTGGCAAATTTATGTAACTATTTCACTGTTAAAAGCACCATGACAACGCTTAAATTCATATAACTGGCTGGGATGAACTTGAAGCATTTTTCCAAATTCACTGCCGTACAATACTGGAATTCCCTTTTCAAAGCCATGGGAAATCGTTTTGCAAATACTTATCAGTCTATTCATTTTTAAGCAGGGAGGAAAAGGTTCATCGAATTCCCTTCTTCAAACTATCAGCAAATCGTTCCTCTAATTTCTAACTGTTTTCCAGTTATTTCAGACTACGCCTCATCACAGATACAACAGAAAAGTATTGAGGAACAATTTGTCACAACCAGAGGAACGTTACTAGTCAGTCAGAGGATATCATTGTACTATCATCTCTATTTAAAGGGGGAAGTGTTGTGGTGTAGAATAAGATTTTCAAAATCCTCATATGTAGCCGTAAAGAGGTAATGCCTTTTTTAACCAATCGCTTTGCTTCAAAGTTTCGCGAAAAAACACGTGAAGAGACACGCTTTCTGTTATATCACCGTCTTTCTCTATTACGGAGGAACTGAGCAACCATTGAGGTTGGAATCTGAAGGTTATTGCCCAAGCGTCCAATTATACACAAATCAGGCTATATCAGGACACTGTAAAAAGATATAAAAGGGATGAATACCATCTTTAAATCATTTAAGACTCTTCAACTTGAATCATGTGATAGTTTTTCGTCAGGAACAGTAGAAACTTGAGAGCACTGGACGTCTTCAGGAGGTGATTCCCGAAGTTCCAATGAGAAGTCGTGACCAGCGGAGTCAACCAAGTTGAACATGAGGACAGTTACTCTGGATGTAGGTCGCGCAATATCGCGAACTGAAAGAAGTAGGAAATGTGTCTCAATCGTAACGTGCTGACCATAGAACCTGGAGGTTCTGGGTTCTATCCTTGGTGGAGCGGGGTTATGCGTGCGCATTGCCGAGGACTGCTAGGACGAAACAGCTGTCCGGTGCTCCCAGGTTTCCAATGTCCCTCCAACACATGTCAGTTCATGATCAATTCCAACCTGAAATCAATTGGTAAACCTTTTTACATTGATGTAATTATGATAGAAACTTGATAGCCTCTGATAAATTTCCTATATGTCGTTATGTATCTTTGTATGTAATTTTTCTATTCACCTTTTTGTTAAAGTTCAATACTATGAAAAAGAGACGAATTCACAACTTGAAATGTATTGGGATAAAATGAGTAAATCGAAATTGAATGGAATTGATCCAACTGAAGTGGTTGAAAGGCATGGTATGGATATAGTACGTATTACTATGCTAACAAATGTTGGACCACATAGAGCACGTAAATGGACCGAAGGAGATGGTAAGCCAACATCTGTATACTCGTAGATTGATTTACCTATTGACCTTAAAGGTTTTATTCATACTGTCTGTTCAAACTGTTTCATTTTCCTGTGTATTTTGAACTACCGGTTGTGGTAGGGTTACGTGACACAAAATGTGAGTATAGCTGACATGTTCGTACATAGTAATATGGAGAGTGTCAGCTAGGGATGCCTACCGTCACCGTTCCTATTGAACTTCATTATAGACTTGTGTCTGACTTCACTGGGATTGATCTACTCCCTAGGGGGCATCTGGTTAACTTGGAATATTCAGACGATATTGTCCTTCCTGGTGAAGACGCTGACAAAATGCAGTCTTGTGAATGCGTTGAGCAGAAATCTGAATACCTTTGGTTGGCTTGCATTTCCCACCTGTCAGATGTAAGTTGATACTCTAAGACTGGTCGGGTAAGATGTATCGACCACTTCACTCATGGAACTAGTTGGTCGTTGATGAAAAGTCAGGTCGGATGCAAAAGATCCGTTTGGCATTTGTCAACTTGCGTCACATGTGGTGTCGACTGGCGAGATATCAGATTATCTATCAAAGGACGAGTATACTGCGCTACAGTCTGTTCTGGCTGTGAGAAGTAGCATTCCTCACGTGTGGTGAAATCACCATGTGAACAATATTTAGGTCAGGCGAAGGTTGCTAGGCAAGACAGGCAAGTTGATTGATAAGGTTGTGAACCTTAGTCGACTGAAATGACTTGCACATGTACTGCCCATGCCCAGCTACTACCTATCTCGACGTGCCATGCTAGTGGGAATTCGATTAGGTTGGAAGAGGGTTTAGGGTAGCCATACCAAGACCTGTCACCAGTCGATGAAGTCTCTGACTATTGTTCTGAGCTGTATGAGGAGATGCCGTCTGCGTCACTGTGGTTTCCGAGACAATAAGAATCAGTAGTTGAGGACTCTTGGTGATATGGCTCAAGATAGGTTAAAATGACACAGATGTATTCACTCCCTGAGTTCTTCTAAAGTTTGAATATTTACAGTAACCGTTATCTTCGGATTGTTTACTCCCTAACACAACTTTGTCTATTTTGATGTCACTCGTCTTCGGAACACCTGTTCTTTAAATGCTAATGTGAAATGTGGCAACTTGAGCCAATGCACTTGTGTGCGAGGCTCTACGTTGGTTTCGTCTGTCTGTCTTCATGCATTTAGCTGATTGGTGGAAAGCATATACAGTTATACACCAGTGTTTTTATTGAGAGAATTGCTAGCAATAGGGGAAAACTTACAACCATGTACTTATCCAAATCCTCTCTGTTTAGTGGTTTTCGGTCTGTAGGAACAGTTTGCACATCCCTGGACTGTCGCTGGACTGTAAACCACTTCGAGATATGTTTTGAAACTACAAGTTTCAGATTTTGCTTGTTGTTTGTAGGTGCTGAACACTCAAGTGTCTTGAAAACTCATCAGCAGTAACTTTTTTTCTCCCAGCAGCTATGTGTCGAATCTATCCCCTTTTTCGTATAGTGAATATTCTAAGCACTTTACAAATGTCTTTGAAAGTAGGTTTCTTAATTTACATGCTAACTGGCGAGCGGGCTCACCATCCGAGCAATCGTGAAGTGTTAGGTGCGTAGTTCTAAGTAGATAAATGATTGAACCTATAATAATTGTGAACCTGTGTTCGACTCAGTTGACTTCAACATACGTTGCGTATGGTTGGCACATTATCTTTCCCTACAATAACGTGTTATAGGAAACTGGATGGAATTAGAAAAAGGCTAAATGTGACCAAACGAAGATGTGACACTAATCGGGATATTCAGTTCCATGTAAATACCTCGGTACTGCCGGTACTTTCAGTCTGATATTAATGGCAGGTAATTATGAGCAGTGGAATCCAGGACACAAGTTCCGTCTTATTTGCAACTCGTAAACTTGATTTTCTTTCCTCATTAGTGATTTTTTTGTTCCCATTGAGATTTGAATACAGAACCAATGGCTTCGAGCCCCGTAGCGTTGACCACCAATTCCACATACCAATAATGGTCGACTAATCCTGGCTAGTCAGCGACGAGGAATTGTAAGCAGTAACATGAAAATAAAAATGAAAAACTATACCCATCACATAAGGAGTGACCTGGGGGGATAACGCTCTGTCATTTAAGGCGATTGGTTGTGGATATTGGTCTTAATGGGAACAGCATTACTCACAGGGAGGAAATTACACCAAGCCTATGAGTCCCAAATAGGATGAAATGCACATCCTAGATCCCACTGCTTTCCACTACTCATCATTTATATCCATTTGACACTTATCACCAGAGTTACTGACTATCCAAATGTTTAGTCCAATGGCTACATCATGAGTCTGGTCAACGTGATTTGATCAGCATGCAAGTTGAAGTGGGTTGTATTCATTGTCTTATATTATCTAATCCTTATATTGAATTCATGATTTGTCGGTTTTTCATAGTTACAAGAATTGTACTTTCTTGGTCATAAATTAATATGGTTGGTTTTTGTGGCAAGAGTTGGTAGCAACGGGTGCTCATTGCAGTTTCTTCAGATTAACTCAATGAGCTAATGAGTTGAAGTGAAGAGATTTGTGTCCTGTGAAAACGATGACTACGTGGGAAATGTTCACTCTTGTTTTCCACTGTGAATGGGTAGACTTTTCAGTTTATTTTTGTTGAGATATGACCCAGAATTGCTGTCTGGAACTTGTATCAGTTGTTCGTACAATAAACGGAACTGTGTTACTGTATTTCATCCATTCTGGGAAGTCTCACTTTAATGTTGAGGGACTGAGCTATGGTTCTGAAGTGATCGAGTGAACAGTAATCAATGCATGAAGCGATATTAAACGCAGTGAAACACTTGGAGTGTATATGAATATCGACTGTTTTCCTTCAGTAAATAATATTTCACTGAGTGGCGAATACCAGAAAGCAAAGACTAGCCTGCTACTACTAGGGAGAAACTTTATTCTACAGAAATGTATGATTTATATGCTGTTTTCATCAACACAAAACCACTAGGTCAAATGATACATACTTATTTAGATTGGTCGAATAAGGTTTTTCCTGACTACACAGTGACATGCAACAAAATTTGAAATCTGAGAACTTCCGTCTTGGTGGCTGGTGACTTAAAATGTTGATTTCTATTCAAACTACTTCCTATCAGATTCATTTCGACTATGTTGAGTTATTATACACAAACCTATGTCAGCGACTTCCACCTCGCTTACCTTTCGCTGGCTTTGGATTTCTCTGATTGAATTACGTGCAGAGATGTAAACGTGAAAGTGTTTAAGAGACTGTCTTTTGTAAGGCTTGTCAAAGAATCCAAGTGAATACAGTGTTTCGTCATTTAGTTTAGCAGCTGATGTTCACTACCTTATCCGGTACACTAGAATCTATCACCCTTCATTGTCGACATAGGATGTTTGTATTATTGTGAAGCGTACTCGGTCTGTTTGTCTATTTGTTATCATCTTTATCTGTCTTTGTTTTTTCTCTGTTCAGTAATTCAAGGTGTTCATAATTGGTTGACGAAGCTGAATCGTATAATTGAACAGTTAATCGAGCATTCTATCAATGTACAACAATCTAATGTATCATGGGAATTGAAATATGAAATGGATAATGATCCGTTGTTAGTTCACTCTCCAGGCTTTCTTAAGTTTCATTGTCTGTTATAAGACGGGTAATTTTGCTTCTTCCTTGTTTTGCGTTATGCTGAATTTATCTGTTGTTTATTAATGTACCTAAATTAATGATGATTCGTTTACTATTCCTTGTGTATATCAAAGTTCAGTATGTTTGTTCCTAATATGATGCAAAATGACCAAGTGGCCTAATGTATGAGTTGATTATGTGCCTTGTGGTGGTATAGTATGACTTTATCATCGTCTAGTTGATTTGATGTTGTACACAATGAGTGAGATAATTAATATTACTGACTAGATGACGTTTCGACCACGACTGATTTCTCTTGGTCAAAACACTATACAAGTATCTGTAAAACTGTACTTTCCAGAAGAAAGGGAGCTGCTGGATTATGGAGACGAATTTTTGAGGTCTTATGGTCACCTTGATTTGACGATGAGGAATAAATTGTTTCTGGAAAGATATTGACTGTGTAATATTTTTTGTTAGTGGATGTTATGTTGAATGAATAAAGTAACGTCATCTGACACCATTTCGTCACTTCTCACTGTTTATATAGGATAAAGCCAGATTAACTTATGGCTTTTCTTTTGCTGTATTTACATTTTAAATAGGAGACATACTGCGTTTTAACATCTTTGTAAAGAAGGCGAAACGTGAAATATTGTTGCAAGTGGAAAACATGTTTTTAAAATCATACTACTCTTGACCTATTTTTAGTAGGCAGTCCTATGTGACTTAAATATTGCCCCTGTAAATACATGAAGCTGCGTCGAGGATTCTAGTTAGTTGATGTTTTTAGGGAGATCAAAAGGATCTCAGTATCACAAGATCATTAAACTTCTATTAAGTCAAGATAATACTGAACAGTATTTGTCTGTTATTGTAGGTACGGAAAGTGTGAATTTTAGACGTAGTCAGCAGTTTGGTTATATATTTCAGTTGGTAGAGTACGATGTCGGTATCTCGTAGGTCTATGGTTCAACTGCTGCAGCTACCTAGTTTTTCATTTTTAGTTGTCAAGCGGTATCAATAACAACACAATGCCCAACCACGGCTATTTTGAATAGTTCCATCGATAAATATTTATTTGCCCTATATAAACACAAACTCGGTTGAATGTCGACATGAAGTAGAGCGCCACACAACGTCATAAAGCGAAGGGATGAATTCACAGATGGAGAAAGGCAGAGTTAACAGATGGTTGGTTTGGCATGGGAGCTGCTGCGATAACATTCATAGCACATATCTAAGCCATCGAAATCGGTGTTGGATGATGATGTCATTCAATGAATAGCAATCTCTATGACACCGAAACAGACTCAGTTTCACCTGACAAATACTTACATGATGGTGCATTGGATACAAGCAATCTTCCATAGATAATAGTGGTTGAACACTTCGAGTTATCGAATATCCTCATTTTGGATGTCTGCACTGTTGAGATTAAAAAGTCTATCTCTTCATCGGAGACTTCAGTCACCACTATCCACCATATGATGAAGCTTCTGATTCTCTCCTGTATAAACCTGAGGTTGAAATTCAGCATTCGAAATGAAGAAAGATGAGCTACGGTTGATTCTGTTCCACATATTGCCGATAAATAAGTCTCACTATTCTTCTTTTGTTATTGTCAACTCTTTACCTCAACTTCGACGACTCTGAGAAGGCCTTTGACAGCGTCGACCGACAAGTAATTTGGAAACTGCTTCAGCACTACGGAATACCACAAACCTTTACCAGTCTCATTCAATAACTATATGAAGACACCACATGCCAAGTGATTCACAGTGGGAAGCTCAGTGATGCCTTTGAAGTGAAGACAGGGGATAGGATTTTAACAAGGCTGTCTACTATCACCCATGATCTTCCTGATTGTGGTCGACTGGATCATGCAGCGAACCGTGAGGAGTGAGAAAAGGGGCATACGCCGGACCGGGAAGAAGACAGTAGAAGATTTGGATTTCGCCGATGACTTGTGTCTGATGTCGCACAAACTCGAAGATCTACAGGCGAAAACCAACAAGTTAACAGAAGAGGCGAAGCAGCGAAGATGGGACTTCAAGTGAACGTAGAGAAGACAGATGTGATGATGATACCCAACCAACGCCACCACCAACAACAACAAGCTCCAATAACCATCAACGGGAGAAACTTAAAAGAAGCAGTCTCTTTCACCTATCTAGGAAGCATCGTTTCATCTACAGGCGGCGGCACAGACGAGGATGTCAAAGCGGCCAGGATCGGAAAAGCAATACAGGCGTTCATTAACCTGAAACCAGTGTGGAGATCTTCTGCACTGCACTCAGCATAAAGCTTGCAAAAAAGATTTGGATTTTCAACACCAATGTCAAGTCAGTGTTTCTATGTGGTTCAGAGACTTGGTGCGTTACGAAAGCATTTCCAGCAAACTACAGATGTTCATCAACAACTGCCTACGCTCGTTACTGAAGCTCAGATGGCTAGAATAATAAGAATAAGCAACAAGGAACTCTGGCTGGGAACGAACCAACCAAGAAGCTATCCCTGAACAAATATGTAGAGGAAGAAAGTGTAGATGGATTGGGCATGCATTAAGAAGGCCAACTGGGGACATCACGCGTCAGGCCAGGTTGTCGAGTGGAACCCAGATGGGAAACGACGAGTTGGGCGTCCTAGATTGATATGAAGGGGATTGTGTGAGGAAGAAATGAAAGCTTGTTGGCAGTCGTGGATCCAGGTTGAAAAGATTGCAGAGAAGAGAGTGGAATGGAGGCATGCTACTGAATCCCTATGTTCCACTAGGAACCCAAAGGAAAAATAATAATACTGTCGCATCATGTTCGTTTAATTTCCTGTGACAGGTTTATTCATGTTACTTTATCCCCTGTCGTTTTTATTTCAAATGAGCATCGAATCGATTATCATGTTTTCTTGGTTGTGTTCTTCATTTTCATAGCTACTTTTTACCGTTTTGAAGTATGAACTGAATTGGTTTACCACACATTGATTAGCATGTCTTGTAAAAGTTTGTATGCCTTTTGAGTATGCACAGTTAGTCGGTTAAACATTGATTTTGATAGTATATGACTCAAATAAGGCTGAAAATTTCTGGTTACGGTCTCTTGTGAGGTCACGGGTGCGCATATCGGGTGGAACAGCTACCCAGTGCTTTCAGATTTTAAATGGTTCTCAAACTGAGATCAGTAAATGATTCCCTACAAACTTTCAAATTCAATCAAGTGATTAGAAGTATAAATTGCTTCATTTATTTCACTCAATTATATGTGAATGAATAACTTGACACCTTGTTTTTCATTCACAAGAATTTAGGAAAATGTCTGCTCCTGTAGTTCATCTTTTTATTTACTCCTGGCTTTGTATTGGTTTTGTGTACTCTTGGTATTATGTTATTTTGAAGCCCATTGCTACTCACAATAGTTAGTGTATTTACTGGATTGATTGATTCCAAGGCAGTTGTCATTACGCAGACTAACATCAGTTAGGGAGCCATTAAAAATCTGGAAGTAGTGGACAGTTAGTTGTTGAACTCTACGGCAATGTTGTTTAATAGTGAAGCTTTCAACCTCCCTCTAGACGACATCATCATCAGCACTAACTTCACCAAAAAGTGAGCCGTCAATATCCACCCGTCAGTCAGTGATTGATTTAGTACCTTGCCTTGACAAAGTGGTCTGTGATTGGTTGTTTCCTTCGATTGTTGTGTCATTGACTGACTACATAGATCCTCCTGTTGCCTGTTCCTCTCTCTGCTTCACCTCTGACCTTTCTGTCCTTTATCATTCTTCTTATTGTTTGATAGATCGAGTCTATGTCTATACATCTGTTGATTGCTGACTGACTGACCTGAATGCCAAGCTTCTAGGAATTCTCTGATGTTCTTTGTGTTTCCTCTGTCCGTCCAAAATTTCTACATTGTCGAAATTGAATTCATGTCCATAATTATCCGTGTGCATTGAAATGAGTGATGAAATGTCGTGTGTGACATTTAATAGCCATTTGGTGTTCATGTAAATGACGAAGGCGAAGAGGGTGGCCACTTTGTCCAATGTATTATTGACTACAGTAATTGCAGTTGATTTTATAAATGATATTCGGTTTGTCTTATTTGGTTGTCGTTGCATCCTTTGGTCTGCATAATAGTGTTTGGAGGGGATATGTTGGTCTGTGAGCCACACCGATTCCAAGTGGTCTCAGTAATCTTGTTGTGATTTCTGATATATTCTTTATGTATAGTATTATGCAGACCAAAGGATGCAACGACAACCAAAGAAGACAAACCGAATATCATTTACAAAATCAACTGCAATTACTGTAGTCAATAATACATTGGATAAAGTGGCCACCTTCTTCGCCTTCGTCATTTACATGAACACCAATTAGCTATTAAACGTCACACACGACATTTCATCACTCATTTCAATGCACACGGATAATTATGGACATGAATTCAATTTCGACAATATAGAAATTTTGGACGGACAGAGGAAACACAAAGAACATCAGAGAATTCCTAGAAGCTTGGCATTCAGGTCAGTCAGTCAGCAATCAACAGATGTATAGACATAGACTCGATCTATCAAACAATAAGAAGAATGATAAAGGACAGAAAGGTCAGAGGTGAAGCAGAGAGAGGAACAGGCAACAGGAGGATCTATGTAGTCAGTCAATGACACAACAATCGAAGGAAACAACCAATCACAGACCACTTTGTCAAGGCAAGGTACTAAATCAATCACTGACTGACGGGTGGATATTGACGGCTCACTTTTTGGTGAAGTTAGTGCTGATGATGATGTCGTCTAGAGGGAGGTTGAAAGCTTCACGATTAAACAACTTATCTCAGGAAACACAAAACAACCTAGACCATCCACCTGAGCTACAAATGTTCTTCATTATTACAAGAAACAGCTGTTTAGAGTTTTCGGGTTTGCAATTTATCTTTAATAGCTCATAATGAAAGCTACCTCAGATGATTTTCTTCCTCTTTACATTTATCATGTTAGTCATTGTTTTTCTGCAATCATATATCTTCCTTATAGATTAACGCATATTATGATGAAACATTTGTGATTAGTGCAATTATCTCCCGACTTCAAGAGTTAACAGAATTATTAAGAGTAAGTTTCCTTTTATTTATTTCATTATATTTTATTCATTTGTTTCGGTTAACCTATATTCTATTTAGCGCTGTACTCAAGTTTTCATTGTAATATTCTACAAAATCACTAGCGTCCACTTTTAAAATGATATAAAAAAGATCGACTTTATGAAATTATCATTATTGACCAACTTTGTACTCCTTTCATTTTCTCTATTGATTGATTGAATGAACATATGTTGATCCAGTCTTTTTGACCATTAACCAATGAAAACTAGCCTCGAATTGCTCAAAACTACTTCACATGTTTTAAGTTGTCTCTTATCTGTAATTTCATGTTGACAATTTTTTTTGTATTTTTCCAGGTTAAGTCTATTAATTTGTTGGAAGGAATGATGAGGAAGCCCTGCCTAGCCTAGATTTCACTCTTCTTAGGACTCGTCAACAAGGTGTATTGATTGCATCAAGGGAAATAAAGACCCTTCTGAGATTTGAGCCCATATCACGTTTAGCTATTCAGCTTACACTTCACCTTCTGTAGAACTGGATTGGACACATTGGTTGACCATTGATGAATAAACAATTCTTAAGTGCTGAGGGAATTCTCTCGATTATTTTGTAATACAGTATCGTGAAGGCAAAACTTACATTTTTTTTTGTCTTGTAATGTAATTACTGAATTCCTTTGCACACTTCATAATTCTTGCTGGTGTTACTCACTATTGAATGTTTTCATCGTTAAGTTATTATCAACGCAGTCCAGATTACGACGGAATGTATCTGTTCAACATAGAACTACTTAATTTAACCAACCAATCACATACGTGATGTTTAAGTGACCACCTTCCCATTTCAGTATTTTTCTAATATAAGTAGTATAGTCATTGAATTTCAAAATATCCTTGATTTTTTTCAATGTTTCAATCGAAACAGAACAACAAATTTTGCCGAATAATCCAATGAATTTATGATATTATATCACATTTTCGTCAACTACTTACCGCTTAGAAAAAAAATAAAGTGAATTAGGATCAGTAGGATCAGAAATCATGGAAATAGAATGAAAGAAGTTGTTTAAATGAACGATGTCGAAGTGAGCTAAGATCAAATCGACAAGGGTAGTAGCATAAAAATTAGTTAGATGGTCATTGATCGATGACTTATGTGGGTGAAATATGTATCACACACGTCTGTGCAATGTTAACTGAATTAAGCTTAGGCTAGAAAAGTTAACAACAGTTACACAAACATGGCATCATTTCATGAAATCGTTGAACGATGTTGGAGGGAAATGCGAATTTCTCGGTTGGAGTCCATATGACAACTGAATTCGATGATCACAGAATCTAAGTTATATAACTCTAAATTGAAATCAGCGGTGCAGCTGACTCCACATAATACCTTCATCCTGATTGTCATATCACATCTCATGGTTGTCACGAGTTTCTAGGACTTATGAATACATTCTGTTTCCCCATCTCTCTGCCTTTCTTCCTACTACCGTTGAGTGTGTCTAGCACTTCACTTACCTGAGAAGTAAGATCAAACTTGGTGGGTCAGTGGCCGATGAAATCTCTGTACGGATACAAAAGGTTCGACTGGCTTCAGCCAACTTGCGCCAACTGTGGCGCCGCCATGATATCCGATTGTCTATTAAGGGTCACCTGTACTACACAGCAGTCTGCTCTTTCCTACTATATGGCTGTGAAACATCGCCATCGAAGGTGGACGACATGAGAAGGTTACACGTGTTTGACCACCCTTGCCTTCGTGTATAGGCAGTATTCCGCGGTGTCACCATGTGAGTATCGCAGAAGTCAGATGTGTAGTTTTAGGGAGAAGAAGTAAATCAGTTGACACGGTTGTGAACCTTAATCGACTGAGATGGTTCGGACACATGTTACGTATGCCTAACCGCCATCTACCTCGTCACAGAATGTTGGCCAAAGTAGGTTCAGACCGGAAAAAGGTCTGAAGCAGTCAGGCTAAAACATAGCATCAATGTATGAAGTTTCTGACTGTTGGCTTCAGCCATGTAGGGCGATGCAGACTAGCCGGTTGGGGTCGGCGGGACAAGAGGAACCAGTGGTTGGAGATTGACTCTAGGTGATCGCATGGCTCAGAACCGATGTCACTGGTGCAGATGTATACATACATTATCCTCATCTTAACGACGCTATACCAAATCTCACTATTTTCACACTTTTCCTTTCTCTCTTTTCGTACTTCATACTTATTTTGACTGAATTTTCTTTTCTTCATCCTCTACTTCACTGTCTTTTTATTTGATGTACTGATATGAGCGGTGTGCAACTTGGACCGTTAAGCAGTCATTCCTGGTCCTGTGTTGATTTGGACGGATGGATGGACTACCGTATATCTTGATGTGTTGATTCGAGTTGTCGCAACTTGAGTCATTACACAGTAATACCAAGTCCTATTTAAAATGGACCAACTAGATAAATCAGTTATCGAATAGTCTATAAACCAGATCAAGAGAGATCATTAGAAAGGTTTCCACTTAGAAACTAAGCAAAATTCTCTGACTACTAGAATAGTTGATGACTAACTATCATTTCTTTTTGAATACACACGTTTCATGGAATTCCTTAACTAATGACTTTCTCTATGAATCTAAGTAATTATTGATAGTTGTTCGTTTCATGTTTTAGATCCATTCATATGAATGCAATTTTATCCATCGCTTAAACTTGTGTGTGCAACTCCGTTAAACTGACTGACTACAAAAGATGCTGTAAATATACCTCGTATCTGCAGCCGTTGTTAGTTTCATTAGATGAGTTAAGAAATCCCTTCGATCTTGTTTGATTTATAGTCGTGAGTAACTAGGTTGGAGTTTGGAAATAATTCCCTTACACTCTGGATTGTTAGTTCATCTAGGTTACACTACGCTGTCTAATTGTTGTACGATACTTAACAAACTGTGAATCATTGATGGTTTACTTAGTTGACTTTTAACCAAAGGGTTAGCTCCCCCCTCCTCCACCTACCTAGGGTTAGAGAGTCAATTAGCATCATTGGTTTTCACCTAACAACATATAGCTTATTGCCTATTGTATGAATGTGCACAGGGTTTCAGAGTCCATAAGAATTTCCATGGTGTTTATAGTGTAAAGAGTTCTCTCTAAATAGACTTACCATGGTTAGTGTTGACTTTATACCAACAGAATAGCAATAAACCAGTTACATATGCTAATAAGAAGTTGAGCGATAATTATGTTAGCAAAATATATATAGTGTAGAACAATCATGTTTTATTGATTTAGAGGGAGATACAAAGTGAATGAGAGGATGTCAAAACCAGGATCGGAAAAGCAGACAGGCCTTCACTAATCTGAAATCACTATAGAGATCTACTGCATTCCACTCAGAATAAAGCGTGAACAACATTTGGATTTTAAACACTAATGTCAAGTCAGTGCTGCTATGTGATGGTTGAGAGACTTGGCGTGTCACGAAAAGCATTTCCAACAAACTACAGATGTTCATCAACAACTGCCTACGCTCGTTACTGAAGCCCAGATGGCCAGAATAACAAGAATAAGCAACAAGGAACTCTGGCTGGGAACGAACCAACCAAGAAGCTATCCCTGAACAAATATGTAGAGGAAGAAAGTGGAGATGGATTGGGCATGCACTAAGAAGGCCAACTGGGGACATCATGCGTCAGGCCAGGTTGTCGAGTGGAACTCAGATGGGAAACGACGAGTTGGGCATCGGTGCCGAGGGTGATATGGAGGAGATGATGTGAGGAAGAAATGAAAGCTTGTGGGCATTAGTGGAGCGAGGTTCAAAAGACTGCAGAGAACAGAATGTAATGGAGATGTGCTAGTGAAGCTCTATGTTCCACTAGGAACCCAAGGGAAAAATAATAATAATAATAAAGTGAATGCACCCTATAGGTCAATAGTATTGATTTTACTGCGTAGGTAGTAGAATGTTTCAATCTTCGGTGTTAATTGTCTTGCACAAATCTGTACTGAGAAGTCCACTTTGCAATTCAGATAAATCATAAAAAGATTCATGAGTTTATCTAATTACTAAGATCGATTTTAAAATTTTGTTATTGCTTTCAGTGTATATACATAACTGAATTTATTTCTTATCTATTTTTGTATCCAGAAGTCTTCTATGCATGTTGGTGGTCCTGGACCGTCAAGTTTTTTTTATATTCGTGCATTGGCTGATCTCTTAGTGATGTTCGCTCCAATTGCTCCAATTTATGCCTCTGAATTATGGTCAGGTTTCCAATTGGCGTGTTCAACTAATGCACCTTCATCAATTCGTGAAATTCTTTCTGTTCATTCCAGTCAAATGATAAATTATGACAGTTGGTTAAATCAATGGCCATACGATTTGGTAAAATATCAGTTTCTTTTCTTCTGTGTAACTTCATAGTAACCGTAAAGAAGTGGGACTGTAGTCGAGATTTTCTCTAGATTTCTGCTCGTATTAGGGTCTACTAATCTTGATTCAGCTAAGATTTTGTGCTCTGTTATTCTGATCTACCCTGGTCGACTATTCTGACCTACGTATTTGACCACGTCACAATCATGGCAGGTGATTTGGTGAGCTCAATTACTTTGCCTAATTACATCGATAGGATCTTTTAACCTACAAAGCTTGTTTCTGAGGGAGTTTGTTGGTTTAAGTGTCACTTTAATTCCAGCCAGCTTTGTTGATTATTCTTTGTAAGGCTTCTGAGGTGCCTCCACTGTATGGTAATACAGTAGAGGCTTTGAATTCTGTCTCAATCCTGACATCATTATTACTACTATTAGTAGAATTACCATTAATAACACCTGTATTACTACTACTACTGCTTATATTTTCCTATCGATTTCTTATGAATTTATTGAGAAATTTAGATGGGTAATTATTGAGATGTAGCGTATTCTTGATGTATCTACTTTCTTGTAGATTTTCTGGCCTACTAGTAAACGTTTTGGCCCTGTCACTTAAGTATTTAACTAAGCCTACTTTAACTGAGATAGAGTTACATGATTTCAAGTGTTTGAAGGGATTCGAATGAAAAGGTTTCTTATAAACACTAGTATCTAGGCTTCCATCTTGTTTTCGTCTAATCCTGCAATCCTATTTTGTAAAGAATGCACCTCAGAAACATTACGAAGAATTCTCAATATGGCTAGGATTAGAGTTGGATTTAAACCAACAAACTCGTTCAGAAACAAGCTTAGTTGGCTGAAAGATCCTATCGATCTGATGAGGCAAAATAGTTTAGTTTACCGAATCGCCTTCAATGATTACGACGTCAAATTAGTCGACTAGAGTGAACTTGAATAACAGTGCACAAAAACTTAGCCAAATGAAGATTGATAACCAAATCTTTGTTTAATCGTATCAACATGCAATAAGAATGGTTCTTCATCTGTCATAGATATATGTAAAATCTTACTCTCCCTTATCACAAAGAAGGAGAAAGTATTAAAACTAAATAGTCCATATCTCAGAGTTGTAGAGTTACCTGATATGAATATGGACAATAAATTGTGTCGAATACGTTATCCACTGAATGATACTGTTTCATTGTGTGACAATACTAATAAACAGACTTAAATGGAATTACAATATACCACAGTGCCGAAGTTTTCCTCCTATACTACGGTCTGAAAGCCTGCACTACTGAAGAAATATAACTTTTAAAAGTCGCGTACAGACTCATGCACTTGGTCGTAAACCAGATGTGAAGATAAGGAAAGGCTTATGAAAGTAATACAAATACTAGATTGAAATGCATGACATCACAAGATAAATTTTTCATGAATCCAGGTTATAGTACTCATTCACCTTGTGCATATTCATACAGTATGCAATGAGCCACACCTATTTTATGAGGGTTAGTTTGGCTTCCAAAATCTCAGTAGATGAAGCGGGATTTCAACTCGTGTTTCACAGGTTGATGATCATCTCCCTAAACTACGGAATCATAACTCTGCACAAGTTACAGGATTGACTGTTGAAAGAAGAATACCTAACCGACTTCAGCATCATTAATTCAGTTACGTATCATCGAAACAATTTAAGTCGATTATGTTAGAATTTTTATTCTTATATCGTAATTCACATTGTCTAAGATGCCTGTATATACTATCTCTTTGTGTATAACTCATATGAAAGAGTATTCAACAAATATTTACCACTTATCCTATTTTCTTGTTTCTTTTTCTAGGAAAAACATGTTCTTGAACAACCATTCCCTAAACTCATTAAACAAGAAAATGGCAACAATGTCATCCAAGTATTAAATTTAAAAAATCGTACAGCATATTGATAAATTGATGACTATGGAATAGGTCGGTGCTATCCAATTTCTGTAGATATTAAGCATCAATTATCCATTCCTTAACTGTATGGCACATACTGTCAACTAGTCTTTTTCCATTGTTTGATTCACTACTACTAATATTAGTAGTACTAATCACCATCTGTGCTTTTTCTTAACTTCTTTCTTATGGTTTAATATTGTTGTAAAGCTAACACTGTTCACTTCTTTGTCCTTCCTTCATATAAGATGTACTAATAGTGCTTGACTACAATTTACTCACCTCATTTATATACATGAATATGCATTTCTTTTGTCTTGTATTTTATAATACTCATGAAGAAATAAACATAAATTGAAAAAAAATTTAGCTAGTACTCTATAGAGATTTGATTTCACTACAAAGTGACCACTCAGAAAGAAATTGTGAGCACCGGTAATCCGTTTCGTCCTATAACAGGACTCTTCAGCAATGCACACTCATGACTCTGTGGAGGCTCAAGTCCGTGACTTTCAGGTTTTGTGGTTACCACATATTCTATCCAGCTATGGGGTTGGAATTCGGCGTTTCAGATTTTCGCAACATAACGTGGCTATCATCAATTACCATCAGTGAGTATTTCTCCTTGCACCTTTTAACCCTATAGGTCATGGGAGACTGATCTCAAAGCATGTCACTAATGAGCGGCGTATAGAGACTGGTTGACTCCAAGTTACGTCTCATCACGGTCGGACCTAAACTAAGTAAAGTTGTAGAATGATGAATTTGCCGATGGTTTACAAATTACACAGTCCAAGTTGATGTTTCTCATAGCTGAATAGTTTTTCAACTATGGTGTCAACAGGGTTTCAGTTGGAAACCATCCACTAGCCAAGATCACCAAGTATGATCTCTGATACCAAAATGTCATGAACTGGCGAGAGATACTATTACTAAAAAGCTTGAACATTTTTTAGAAACCACTCAGGGTGATGTGCAGTACTTCGCCAGGTAAATCAGAGTGATCCAGACACCAAACGACCGTTTTTCTTGTTCAAGTTCAAGCTTATCAGCAGTGTGACCGGACATACTCAGCTCGCAGAGTGGAATTTGTATCGGTCACTTGGTTCGCCATGGAAACCCTTTTGAAAGCATAGTTGGGTGGTTGAAAAAGTATTCAATCTTGAACAATATCACTCACTGAGGTGTAGGCATATCCAACTGGTGAGTCACAAGGAGGACAAACGCGAACCCTGGATTCCTCTGCTAGTTATCGAGATCAATATCGATAGTACGATTTGCAAATTGATCATCTTATTTTAGCTATACCTACCTGTTCATGCTAGCCAACCAGAGGAATTTAGGTTTCGTATTCCTGCGTGATATGTAGGAATTGTTCATTCTTATATTTCTGTGCCTCAATTATTGTTTCATTTGATGTATGTAATCACATTTGTGAAGTATTCAGTTGATGAGTTCTCTGCAAAAGTGGTGAACTCATTAGATCCTTCTTTTTTACTGTATTCATTATACTTGTTTTAAATATTGCACGGGGAAAGAAATGCTTTCAGCTCATGTAATACTCGTTTTGGCCTTGGAGATCTGTAGCAAAAAGCCTAAACTTAATTCACTTACGGTCAAATGAAAGCAACTGTTACTTAGAAGAAAACTGCAATTACTAAACACGCTTCTAGAGATGATTTGATAACACACCTACATTATCGTTCGTAAAAGCCGATGGATATTTTTGCATGCAGTAACGATTGCCTCCAACCAACTAAAAGTATAATTTATTCTGTCGAGACTTCAAACATGAGTAAGTATTTCATTTTAGCCACATCACCTGCATGCTCTCACCTGTAAAAATGGCTTGAATCGTCATCAGACATCAACGCTATTATTGTTAATAGTGAAGCCTGGGCACCATGGTAGAGAGTAATTCTATATAGATTTGTTTATTTGATTTAGCACAGTGAAACAGCATTGTTTATTGGTTGGCGTTCCAAGCACAATTGAGTGCTCATGAGCACACCTCTGAGAAAAATATGAGCGATGAGTCCTGCTCGAAACACCATTAAGTAAATAATACTATTTCACTGTGTGCCATATTAAACGAACAAATGGAACTTTTAACCTTGTCTGAAAGTTTAAGGTGATGGCCTCATCGATATCAAGGGATATATTGCATCGACAGAGTGCATAGATGTGCTGATTTTTCTGTCGATGACTGACTAATTAATTTCCATTGAAGTTTCCGCTTGTAATAACTGGTTTAGTTATTTGGTCTGGACCTCGTGAATCGTCTGACTGATTTACATGAACTAGGCTAGGAAATCTCCCCACTCGTGTAGTAGTAAGTCATGGGATGTATTCATATCAACTGCTTTTGTAAGTTTTCCGACTAAGTATTGTGACTCTAGAGATTCTTGTAAGCCTTGATCACAAATAGTGGCGGATTCGAAAGACAGTCTGTTAAGAGTCATTTCTGTTTCACTGACGAACGTTTCCCTCACAGCTAAAGATAACGGAAAGGAATAATCTTTCAACAGCATCTATGAATGAGTTATCAAGAGAAATCTCTGTGGACGGATGGACTGAGGGTGAAGGATAATCACATTTTTTCAATTTGGTCCTTTAAAATAATACAGTGCATGTTAACTGACTGCCTTTAGGTGTTATATGTTAACGCACTCCGTGCTTACAAAGACATGTTTTATTACATGTGAACTTAAGGATATTAAAATTGCTGTGATATCCGCTATGTCTGCTTTCTAATCTTCTGTAGAGCCATACACTTCCCCAAAATCAATAGCCTATGGTTTGACGACTTTCGACATTGATGCTGACCTTGATAGTTTAACTGGACTCGCTAAGCTGAAGGCACCCGGTCAAGCATCCTCGCCATTTGGCACGCTGTCGTGTTACGTTGCATTGCTCGTATTCGACTCTCTAGCCAGTTAGTTGGAACGCATCGGTATTTTGGCATAACCATCCAAATATACTATTCCATCCGACTACGCTATCGTGTTCTTCCTTGGTCTCGTATTCGTGGGTATATAACAAGTTCGAATAATTAGTGATTGGTCTTTGCGTCTGTCAAGTTCGCACCAGGACAAATCCTAAATTGGTGAGCCCGACGTGATCAATATCCCGACGTGATCACATATCCCGACCAATAACAAGTATTGAATTGGTGAGCCTGTTCCATTTTATATTTGTTTATTGTTTTCATTTCGATAACATTTATATATCCATTTACTACACTTTCTCATGTCCGACCACACTCCCAAGCTTATTCGTATTAAGCCGACTTCGAACACGATCCAACTCGTGCCATATTGGCCAGACAATGCAGAAACATGGTTTCTGTATGCCGAGGCCGATTTTCGAGAACAGGGTGTCTCAGATCCTCATTCTCGATTTCTTGCTGTCATACGTTCACTACCGCGAGAATTAAACAGGTATGTTACAGCAAACATGTTTAATCCTGAAGTAAGTGACCCTTATGCACTTCTAAAGGCCGCACTCTTGAAGAAAAGCGATCTCACAGATCGCCAACGTCTAGACGAATTGCTTCGTAACATCGAGCTAGGCAGCCACTCAGCTACTGAAGTCCTCGCACGCATGCGAGAAGTAATCGGTGCACGAACATTTGACGATGGTTTCTTCCGAGAACTATTTCTCTCGAAACTACCACAACCGGTGCAAACCGTGTTGGTGACACTCCAGTCAGTCCCACTCGACGACCTGGCAGCCTCAGCAGATAAAATACTGGAGATATCCAGCAGACCCGTCTCCAACGTATATTCTATCTGCGACAAACCAGAGCGCCAGGATTCGGAGGTGACCAAGTTGTGCAACTCTGTGAAACGGTTGCTACGATCTCGAAGTCCTAGATCACGTAGCACTTCACAGAAACGCACCTTGGCGCATCGCAGCAAGTCGCGTGGTAGCCCTAAAACGAAACCCAACAGGGTGGAAAACCCTGAATGGTGCTGGTTTCATAACACTTACGGGGATGAAGCCAGAAAATGTCGTAAACCATGCCGTTTTAAGAAGGACACAAACTCGGGAAACGGTCACGCCGGCACGTGCTCACGGCAACCGTAGCCGGCGGAAAAAGCCGTTTGCTCTACGTCACCGACATTAAAACGAAAGTCCGCTACCTCGTCGACACCGGCGCAGCAACGACAAAGGAGCGTCATCTCGACCCATCCTTCAATCTTCAAGCAGCCAACGGCAAGGCAATCGCGACATTCGGGAGACGGTATGCCTACCTCAACTTAGGTTTACGCAAACCTATTCACTGGATTTTCCTCCTGGCAGACGTCTCTATGCCCATCATTGGCATAGATTTGCTAAACCATTACGATCTACTCGTAGATGCTCGCCGTCGACGACTGATAGATAACAGCACAAAGTTATCTATTGGCGGCACCACCTATGTAGGTCCGAGTTTAGCCATCGTTAGGACTAAACAATCAGGCGACGCGTCCTACCAGGCAGTTCTGGAGAAATATCCAGAGTTACACAACCGAAGCACACTCTTCCGTGCATAACCAGCAATGTTATGCATCACGTCACAACCACAGGTCCACCTGTGGCATCCAAAGCGCGCCGTTTAGCCCCCGATAAGCTGAAACGGCGAAAAATGAATTCGACCATATGCTCGAACTGGGCATTATCAGACCGTCGAACAGTCCTTGGGCATCGCCATTGCACATGGTTCCCAAAAAGGATAGCAACGACTGGCGTCCAACCGGTGATTACCGAAGGCTTAACGCCAAAACAACTCCGGACTGCTACCCTATACCTCACGTTTACGACTTGACCGCAACCTTATGCGGCATGAACATTTTCTCGAAAATCGACTTGGTCAAAGCGTACAACCAGATACCTATGGCAGCAGAAGATATCGCGAAAACAGCCATTATTACTCCTTTTGGCCTGTTTGAATTCCTGCGCATGCCTTTTGGTCTTCGGAATGCAGCACAAACATTCCAACGCTTTATGGACGACGTCTTCCGTG